CACGGAATCCCTTTCAGGACAATTTTTTTTGCAAAATTTACTGGCCCACCCCCTTCAACATGCACTTTGACTTTCACCCGCTCTTTCGCATAACTTTCGCGAAAATATCCCTATTCAAAAACCCCGGCCATCAGCAGGGGGTACACTAAAGGAAAAGCGAAGACCAGGGGCCTTGGTATTTGGCTCTCGCAAAGCCTTACTTTTAGAAACTTAACTACTGCTACTCGCATTTTCTAGTGTCCTTTTCCTGCCGGACCCCGGGCGGCAGTAGGTGGCAGCCCTTTATATATAATAATTATAATATCCAATTTTCGCGAAATTTTCGCGAAATAAAATTTTACTTTCGCAAACTCAAAAAAAAACTTTCGCAAGAGTTTCCAACATAACACGCGCGGCTTTCGCAATTAAAATTCCTTATAAGGACCTTTAAATCGATCACCATATATATTTAAAAAAAAAAATACGAAAAATAATTAAATTACAAAAAAATAAAAAAATATATAAAATACAATTTACTAAAAGCAACGCAATCATTTTCTTTCTAAAAATATAAAGTAAATCGTCGGTATAGTTGGGATTGGTAGTAGTTATGGTGTTAGTGGTGTTAGTGGTGTTAGTAGTGTTAGTAGTGTTAGTAGTATTAGTAGTGTTAGTAGTATTAGTAGTGTTAGTAGTGTTAGTAGTATTAGTAGTGTTAGTAGTGTTAGTAGTGTTAGTAGTATTAGTAGTGTTAGTAGTGTTAGTAGTGTTAGTAGTGTTAGTAGTGTTAGTAGTGTTAGTAGTGTTAGTAGTGTTAGTAGTATTAGTAGTATTAGTAGTATTAGTGTTATTAATATTGTTAATGTTGGTGTTGTTGGTAGTAGTAGTATTATTAGTATTGTTAGTAGTATTGGTATTATTGGTGTTATTAGTCGTGTTGTTAATGTAGGTATTGTTGGTGTTATTGTTATTAATAATGATGTTATCGTTGTCGTTGTGTTATTGTTGTTGTGGTTGTAGTTGTTAGTTTTAGTATTGTATTGTGGTTCTGATTGTGGTTGTAATTATTGTAATTATTATAATTGTTGTGGTTGTTGTGGTTATTGTGGTTGTTGTGGTTGTTGTGGTTGTTATGGTTGTTGTGATTATTGTGGTTGTTGTGGTTATTGTGGTTGTTGTAGTTGTTGTGGTTGTTGTGGTTATTGTGGTTGTTGTGGTTATTGTGGTTGTTGTAGTTGTTGTGGTTGTTATGGTTGTTGTAGTTGTTATGGTTGTTGTGGTTGTTGTGGTTGTTGTGGTTGTTGTGTTGTGTTTTGTGTTCTATGTTATGTGTTGTGTTCTATGTTATGTGTTGTGTTCTATGTTATGTGTTGTGTATTGTGTAATGTGTGTTGTTTGTTGTGTGTTGTGTGTTGTATAACATGTTGTGTGTCATGTGTTATGCGTTATGTGTTATTTATTATTTATTATTTGTTATGTGTTGTGTGTTTTGTGTTTTATGTTTTGTGTTGTGTGTTGTGTGTTGTGTGTTGTGTGTTGTTTGTTGTGTGTTGTTTGTTGTGTGTTGTTTGTTGTGTGTTGTTTATTGTTTGTGTGTTGTTTATTGTTTGTGTGTTGTTTGTTGTTTGTGTGTTCTGTGTGTTCTGTGTGTTCTGTGTGTTCTGTGTGTTCTGTGTGTTCTGTGTGTTCTGTGTGTGTGTTCTGTGTGTGTGTGTTCTGTGTGTGTGTGTTGTGTGTGTGTGTGTTGTGTGTGTGTTGTGTGTGTGTGTTGTGAGTGTGTGTTGTGTGTGTGTGTGGTGTGTGTGTGGTGTGTGTGTTGTGTGTGTGTTGTGTGTGTGTGTTGTGTGTGTGTGTTGTGTGTGTGTGTTGTCTGTTGTCTGGTGTCTGGTGTCTGTTGTGTGTTCTCTGTTGTCTGTTGTCTGTTGTCTCGTGTCTGGTGTCTGGTGTCTGGTGTCTGGTGTCTGGTGTCTGTTGTGTGTGGTGTGTGGTGTGTTGTGTGTTGTGTGTTGTGTGGTGTGGGTGGTGTGGGTGTTGTGGGTGTTGTGGGTGTTGTGGGTGTTGTGCTTGTTGTGCTTGTTGTGCTTGTTGCGCTTGTTGTGCTTGTTGTGCTTGTTGTGGCTGTTGTGCTTGTTGTGGCTGTTGTGGTTGTTGTGTGTGTGTGTTGTGTGTTGTTGTGTGTGTGTGTGTTGTGTGTTGTTGTGTGTGTGTTGTGTGTTGTTGTGTGTGTGTGTTGTGTGGTGTTGTGTGTTGTTGTGTGTTGTTGTGTGTTGTTGTGTGTTGTTGTGTGTTGTTGTGGGTTGTTGTGGGTTGTTGTGGGTTGTTGTGGGTTGTTGTGCGTTGTGGTGCGTTGTGGTGCGTTGTGGTGCGTTGTGGTGCGTTGTGGTGCGTTGTGGTGCGTTGTGGTGCGTTGTGGTGCGTTGTGGTGCGTTGTTGTGTGTTGTTGTGTGTTGTTGTGTGTTGTTGCGTGTTGTTGGGTGTTGTTGTGTGTTGTTGGGTGTTGTTGGGTGTTGTTGTGTGTTCCTGTGTGTTCCTGTGTGTTCCTGTGTGTTCCTGTGTGTTGCGCGGTGTTGCGTGGTGTTGCGTGGTGTTGCGTGGTGTTGCGTGGTGTTGCGTGGTGTTGCGTGGTGTTGCGTGGTGTTGCGTGGTGTTGCGTGGTGTTGCGTGGTGTTGCGTGGTGTTGCGTCGTGTTGCGTCGTGTTGCGTCGTGTTGCGTCGTGTTGCGTCGTGTTGCGTCGTGTGGCGTGTTGTGGCGTGTTGTGGCGTGTTGCGTGTTGCGTGTTGCGTGTTCCGTGTTGTTGTTGTTGTTGTTGTTGTTGTTGGTGGTGGTGGTGGTGGTGGCGGCGTTGGTGTTGGTGTTTGTGTTGGTGTTACCCCTGCAGCGTTTTATCTCGGTTCCGTAGTGGCCGAGAATCGTCAAATATGCAGTGTTTTGGCGTGTTTTTGCAACTCGCTGGTTGTTGTGTGTTGTTCTGTGTTGTTGTGTGTTGATGTGTGTTGTTGTGTGTTATTGTGTGTTGTTGTGTGTTGTTGTGTGTTGTTGTGTGTTGTTGTGTTTTTGTGTGTTGTTGTGTGTTGTTGTGTGTTGTTGTGAGTTGTTGCGTGTTGTTGTTTGTTGTTGGTTGTGGTTGTGGTTCTTGTTGTTGTTGTTGATGATGATGATGATGTTGTTCTTGCTGTTGTTGTTGTTGTTGTTGGTGGTAGTGGTGGTGGTGGTGGTGGCGGTGTTACCCCTGCAGCGTTTTTTCTCGGTTCCGTAGTGGCCGAGAATCGTCAAATAGGTGGTGTTTTCGCGTGTTTTTGCAACTCGCGGAGCAAAAAACATCGTAAATACCAATGCTTTTGGCGGGTCGGAAGCCCAAAACCACGGTATTTACGATGTGTTTTGCCTCTGGTAGCAAAAAGCACGGTATTTACAGTGTTTTTTGGCCAGCACCTAGCAAAAACACTGGTATTTACGGAGGTTTCACCATGTAACAAAATGTGGTTTCTTGATCCGAAAAGAACAAAAATACTGTAAATTACAATGTTTTGAGTCTGCTCTTAGGGTGCGTGGGAGGCGTGGAGGGGGGGGTGGGGGGGGGGTACTCAAGGTAGCCCCTCTGGAGGTACCTTTCGTGATATATTATAATGATTTAATTTATATAAATATAGAATTTGTATAAAATTATATATATATATATTAAAATTTATTGTATAATATATATATATATATATATTTTTTAAAAAAATAAAAATATATGTGTTTGTTTGTTTGTTTGTTGTTATTTTTTGTGTTTGTTTTTTATTTGTTATTATATATTATTATTTAAATATATAAAAATTATATATATATATTTTTTTAAAAATATATATTAATGCAAAAAAAAATAACATTTGAAAATATTTTTTAAAAAAATTAAATTTAATAAATATTAAATTAATTAATAAGAAAAAAATATATAAGAATAGGAAAATAAACTATTATAAAATAAAGCTAAAAAAATATAATAATTTATAATATATTTAGTATTATTATTTATAATTTTATTATCAAATAATATATATTATGTTTGATCAATTCGAAATCAAATCAAAGAATTCCTGACACAATAAAATTAATATAATTATATAATTATATCGATCAAGGATAAATGATTTTGCTATATGACATGCAATCTGCACCAGCTTTCCAGCCTTTCCAAGCTCTCGATAGTCTGTCGTGAGCTCCTGCAAGAGCAAGGTTCAAGTGCTGAAATTTCTTCCGCATCTCCCAGTTTCAAACAAGTTCAATTTCACAGCAAACAGGCTGCACTGCGGCCTCACCAGCTTCAATTCGCCGCCTTGATACAGGCCATAGTGTCAGACAAAAGATTGGCATGGCCGGTTTGGAACCCCAGTGCTGATGGCAGCCTTACACATCAGGTGCCTCGTGACAAAGGAATTGTATCCACCATCCTCTTCTGCCTTAGGCAATATCATGCAATATCGCCACTCCAAAAGCGCGGTGACAGAATCGCAAAAGCTTTCGTTCAATTCTTAGTGTACCGCATTTTTTACGGCGATATGTTCGACAGAAGCGTTTTTTTGGGGTGCAACAGGCGCGCGGCATCGCAAAACTCAATGTTGGGATCATCCGAATGGTTCAAGTACCTTGCAAAATCGAACAGCTTGAGCTCAGCAAGATTTCCCCCAGATCTCCAGCAGAGCGAGCACAGAGATATCTCACAACTGGTGGAGGCACCAAGATAAGTTCAGGTTGTTCATGCCTGTTGATAGCACGCCGTAGATGATCTGCACAAAGGCCATTTGTGAATGCTTCAAATGGCTTCCTTTTGATGGGAATCTTGATGCGATCTCTGTTCGAAGGTTTGATGATAGCTTTGATGTTCAAACCAAGTCAAGAAATTGCTTTAACTTTGAGTCCTAACGCACAGCATTCAATTGGTAGCAGCTTGCACTTGTACACGCGCACACACACACACACATCCACACCTCCCCCTTGCGATTTCTTTGTGGCGTCCAGCCATCATCTTCCGTCAAGGCTGCAAAGAAAGACTTTACCTGGCACACATCATGGCAATGCAAAGAAAAGCGTGCCATAAATTCAGGTTGAAAAAACCAAACAAACTGCAACCCACTCGGGCATGTAATAAGCCTTATGGTCTCCAGAAGTCCTAAAACCTCTCATGTAAAGTCTTGAGTTGCAAGATTGACAATCCAGATGTCCTAAAACCTTGAGCTCTCGTCAGTTTGGGGCTCAGGCTTTCTCGAAAACCCCTGGAGGCATGGCCTATTTGCGTCGGAAACTGGGTCTAGAGACAGTATTTGGGGCAGTATGTTGATGTTGAAAATATACTAGTATTTTATGGGTACATCCAAATTTGGTGGGAAATATGGCAGTATTTGGGGCCAGATTTTGGGTACCCTATCACGACTTCGGGCTGAAATTCCTCTTTGGGAGACTGTCAGAGGATGTCCGCACCCGGTGTTGTCAAAGGATTTGAACAATATTCACAATCAAAACCAAAATACGCAATTGAACAAAAAAAAGGTCTGTTATGGGTAAAACCCATAATAATGGACAAAAAAAATGTCCGTACGGTTTTCCAAGTATGTATGTATGTATGTATGTATATATACATATACGTATACCACGTGTATACCGTATATCTGTTATGTAAGTATACTAAAGTTGAACCTTAGTAATGTGGCACAGTAAACCCAATGATAAACCGTCCAAAAATTTTGACCAGCATAAGTTCATTGGGTGGTAAAAATCATCCCCAAATGGTAGCTTTACAGCAATAATCCGTGAACCCCGCCACCCTGCGTGCCACCCACCCCGGCCACCCTCCGAAGACCAGTTTTCGTGGGGGGCTTTGCAGTCACTGACCCTACCAAGTTAAAGAATGTTAAAGATTGTATCAGTATGTTTCGATTGAGAAGTTCATAGAATTGAGATGGTCATCCATTGATGATGGGATGTGAGGCTACGACCTTCAACTCTGCGTCCGAGCAAACGCAGAAGCGCTCCTGTCCCCAAAAAACCACCAGCGCAGAGGAAGGGGGTTCTTGCCATAAATCACCCGTAAATTGATTGTTTGAAATGGCCCTGAAATATGATTTCCGTATATTTCAGTCATGAATCCAAATGATGTGGATTGTTACCATAAAAGCCACCACAAAATATGATTGAAATTGCCATAAATCACTCATAAAATCGATGTTCATCCCTTCCAAATGCTTCAGACACCTGGTTTGACATCGGTGCAAATGGTCCTTCGCCGCCATATGCATGTTGCAAATGGGAAAAGGATCCACTCCGGCAGGGATAGGCCTTGACGGTGCCACTGAACATGTGGGTATTTCACTACACCAGGGGATAACATCTTAATTTTCTCAAGATGTAAAAACCATGAAAATCCCGTGGATGTTTCTGGATTTCTTAAGGCTCAACTTGTTATCACAACTGCATGGGCTCCTGACCGGAACGCGCGAACTCCCACGCCAGCAATGGGAGATGCAAAGAGCTCCACATAAGCCTTGCCATGTGGATCAAATGATCAACTGATCAACAATGATGGGCCCGTGGGCCCTCAAAACCTGCAACTTGACTGGTCATTTTCAGTACCAGATACAGGGGGGGTACCCAACCTTGACCCGTATCCACTGTCTTGCTTCTCTGAGTTGCCAGAGGCTGTCTGGAAAGTTACGGGCCTCGCTCTCCAAATGCTTCAGTAGCCGCTGTTTGTCCTGAAGAACGCTTTCTGTGGAAAATTGGGTGATAAATATGTGATAACATCTCACTTCTGATCCATAGCCACAGCACCAAAATGCGATGCAAAATGCACCAGCGCAGCCGCCATTTTTCTCCGTTCAGTGCTTCAGCCGGCAGATGGGGACCTTGAGCCCAGGACACACAATCCAACGGTGGTTAAATTATGTTAAATTCCCCCAAAGAAAGGGCCAGGATCAACTTAACACTTCAGAAACTGAGTGTCTCACAGAAACGTCAATTTCTCCAATTTGCCCTTGGAACGCGCATGGCTCCTGGCTCTGAGTCACCAACATCAACATGCCCAACTTGCCAGTTGTACGACGTATGAATCTCGATCGGCCCCTCAAAATCCCAAAGAATCACTGGGTTGATTTCAAGGAAAGTCTTACGGAAAGATTGCGGAAACATACGGAAACCATGTTTTATCTTGGGAAAAAAATGTTTTTTCCCGTCCAACTGGTCCAACTGTCTAAATCTGGAAATTTCTTGGGGATGCAAATGGGCCACCCGTCACCCACCTGGTTTGCTTAGCCATGAGGCTCGAACCTGCACCACTCAAGCTACTTCACATGTAAAAAAAATCCTTCAAACAGGGAACGGAAAACGACAAAACTGACTAAAAGGCGGAAAGCACACCTTATAGAAAATCAAAGCACTAGTTCGCCCTTCTTGGGTTGAAATCTCCGGCACGTCAACTGCAGAGGAAGCTGCTGCAACTGCCTCCATCTTTGCCCTTGGCATCGCCAGCAGGTTTTTCGCCTTTCTCCACAGCATTGGCTGCCTGAGATCCAAAGGTGTGCACGAGAACGCAAGGGCAGCCAGGCGGGTCAAACTCCCTCAACAGTTTTTTACGCGTTTTCAATTCTTACATAGTCTTACCATCCATGGTTTTAACATTGGTTTCCGGTGCAAAAAAACAGCTTTCAACTCTGCCCCATCTAAAAACACTCAAAATTTCGGGCCTGTTCTGCCGCGGTCTGTTCCTTCAGGATCTTGTCCGCATCCTGCAAGGCCTCGGCCTGGTTATGCAGCTGCCTCCCATCACCAGGGGATTCAATATAATATTTAAAGTTCTCCCCTCTGTGTAAATGTTTGGGTGTTTGATTAGTGTCTATTATATATAATCCCATCCCAAGTTCATATTCAACAACCCTAATTCCATGGTCGCAAATATGTGTAAATCCTGTACTAAACCATGATTTCTGGGTATTTTATGGTATGTGTTAATATTTGGGTGGGATTAGGAGCGTTATAGATGATTTACCTATTCATGGATGATTTGCCTACAGATGGTTTTAACAGTTCGCCCCAACCCGGACGTTGCTCCACACTTACAATCATCATGATCATCATGATCATCATCATGATCATCATCATTATCATCATCATCATCATCGTCATCATCACCATCATCATAATCATCATCTTTATCTTCATGAGGGCTCAAAATTCGCCACCCCCTCTGAACAATATGCTGATTGGGGCAATAACACCAACTATATCTCCATGAGGGATCAAAATTCGCCACCCCCTATGAGCATTATGTTGATTGGGGTAATAGCATCAACTATATCTCCATGAGGGGTCAAAACTCGCCACCCCTTATGAACAATATGTTGGTTGGGGTAATAATATCAACTTTATCTTCATGAGGGATCAAAATTCACCACCCCCTATGACAATATGTTGGTTGGCGTAATAACATCAACTTTATCTTCATGAGGGATCAAAATTCACCACCCCCTATGAACAATATGTTGACTGGGGTAATAAGATCAACTTTTTCTTCATGAGGGATCAAAATTCGCCACTCATTATGAACAATATGTTGATTGGGGTAATAACATCAACTTTATCTTCATGAGGGATCAAAATTCGCCACCCCCTATGAGCAATATGTTGATGGGGGTAATAACATCAACTTTATCTTCATGAGGGATCAAAATTCGCCACCCCTTATGAACAATATTTTGATTGGAGTAATAACATCAACTTTATCTTCATAGCCACCTGAAGTCAGACGCGGAGCAACGTCAGGGTTGCAGCGTAACAGTTTAGTGGAAGAAATGGCCTGTTTCGTTCGAGGATTTCCCCATTGAAAATGTTGCATTTCCGTGGTTGTGTATGGTTATGTTGAATTACCAGAGGGTAATCCAGCTCCTTCAAGGCAAAAAAAAACATATGGGCCTTGATGGACTCGTATAAACCATCCCATCATGTTGGTGAAGAATTTCTTGGTTAGGGAGAAGATTGGACTTTTTATAAACATCCCACTCCGAATTGGGCCTCATCACCTTCAGCCTTCCTTCCTTCATCCTCAAGCACCTTGTTAAAGCTGTCCTGGGAGTCATGAGTGCAACTGGCATTTGGCAGCGGGGCAATTATCACCAAGATTCGGGTACTGGCCGTTTCAATACTGGAGGAAAACCAATTGCCAAGAGTTTTACATGTTATAAAGGTGAGGTTTTAGAGTGGCATCCCCTAAGCTTTAAGTAGCGTTGGTCTGACAAAAAAAGTAAGAAACTCAGGCTCCCTGGCAGAATCATATTGTTTGGGTGTCCTTCTTGGCCTGCACATTGTCACGTGCAGAGACCGCCTTCTCTTTTTGCTCCTTGTATTCGCCTCGAAAGAGAAAACACGAGTGACAAGGCAGGCTAGCGATAATGTGTGGGTCGCTCCTTGCCATCTTGACAAGCCATGCTTGTGCTTTGCCACTGCATATGTGCGCTGTGATTGCAACAACGTTGTTTTGCTCCAAACATGTCCCGCCCCACATGTTCATGCATCCATCCCCTGTCAGGCTTGATGTCTTTATCATACTCCAGTGCTTGAGGTGCCTTCACAAGATCACACTTTTCATCATGTTTCATCATCAAATTGGATTTAACATCTATTTAACATCTATGAACAATCTCTCCATCTGTGATCTTCCAAGGATCTGATGGCATCTTGGACTCCTTTCAGGGCCTCTACCGGGTAGACCCGGCGGAATGAAATTTCAAAATACATTGAAGACCTAGGGTAGAAACCTTATTGCTACCGGGCTACCACGAATGAGTAGTACCCTCTTGTAATTTAACATAGCCTTTGAAAATGGCAATTTATAGTGAAATTTCCCATTGAAAATGGTGATTTTCAATAGCTACGTTAAATTACCAGAGGGTATCTAGACTGGCATATCCATATGTGCGGTGATTTATAAAGCTTGATCCAGCGTATCAAACTTGCAAAAACACGCGCAATCAACTGATATGAGACAACAGCGACAATGCAATTGTTCGACCAAGACCTAGGCACGTTTATGGTCAAGTTATTTCAAGTCAAAGAATTCAATAGCTGATTCCCAAAGCAATCCTGGGGGGTTCCCATAGCGGTCCCCATATATTCTGCCTCTCCCTCTTTGATGGCTTCCTCCCTGGCTTGTTCCACGGCGGCCTAGGAGGTGAACACGTGTTGAAAAAACGTGGGCCATGGCCGCCATGGCCACGGCACAGCAGGTGAGCTGCCGACTTCATCCGAGCATCCATGCAGGGTGATGGCCTGAGATCAAAGGTTGAAACGCAGTTTCTGCGGCTTTCGGAGTGACCGTCTTGTCGGTCATCCATCAGGATGGCACCTCAACCACCTTGCAATCCAAGCGACCATCAGCATTGCAAGAAAACACAGAAAGGCCTGGCATTGCTTGGCCTCAGCTTCGGATGTTCCGTGCTGCACTCGGGTCAGGTACGGATCAAGAATCGTGTAGCAGTATCTCTTGGTGAAGATCCATGCAGACTTGGGATGTTCACCAGTTCACCATAGTTCACCATAGTTCACCCCTACCCATTGTTTGACCCATCCCCACAGTTCCACGGATTCCCAGGCACCCAAGGCACCATGAGATGGCGCCGTCGCCTTGGCCCAGGGTTTACCATCCAGGTCAAGGGGCATAGCATAGCTCAAGAGGATACTCTTGGTACATCTGATGTATCTCTTGGATCTTGCCAATCTTGGTACATCTTCAAGGATCTTATTAAAGCTTTATGCTCATGGCGATTCGTCATGGCGATTCCATGCTCCACCGGAAATTCATTGATTCACTCTGCGGCTTGGAGCCGAACCACCTTTCAGGTGGAGCCCAACAAGATGGACGACCTGGAGATCATTGAGACCCAGGGAAAAGCTAATGACTTAGAACATATCACTGGAGCCCAAAACAGCGGCAGTGGCACCCAGGCACCCAGACATACCCAGACACCCAGGACCCGCAAGTTCTTGACGCATGCCGAATCAAAACAGTGCTTCGGTATGCTTCGGTATTTGTAGGAGATTCACTCTTAGGAATCAGATTTCATACCATGTTGTGCCAAGGTCTCGATTGTGGTCGCTTCTGAAACAATGCTGCAAGGTGTGATTTCAAGATATACATATAGTAGGCGGCAGCTTTCTCCTCCTCATCCGGCTCATGGTTCACCATTTTCCTTGCTTTGGTAAAGGCAAGAGATCCTATCCATATAAGATGCCTCTGCACTAGAGAGACTCCCTCCCGAATCATCACATCTCTGAACAAACCTGGATTCCAACCGCCAACTTGAGATTCTGCAGAAAGACTATCAGCCTATCAGCGTCAAATGTGCTGATTGCTGCAGAGATGATTCGCTGAAATGAAACATGTTCTGCAATTCGCAGAAAAAATGCAAGAAGTTGGTCACGATAGCAAGAACCCCAAACGCTATCATTTTGAGTTGGGTTGGCACCTGTGCCATTCTTGCCAAGCATCTGAGCGGCAGAAACCTGGGAAATCTACCGCAAAAGCTGGGGCAGCTGGGGATGGAAAACCAAAACGTACCTGGAAAGCCATGAATGATTGCGGTAGACCCAATATCCTCAAAATCAGCAGATTTTTGACGATATCTTCATCAATTTCGGCCTGCTCCTGTAGTTGCTTCACCTGGGCGATCAGATGAACGGGTGTCATCCCACCATTTGGGAACCTCTATTGATGGAGGATGACCATCCCCGTAAAAAGGCTAGCCATGTTTTGAATTGTTTTGACAATGGCAAACATAGGTTGGTCTGAAAATGGGGTATCCCAATTCTAATATGTAGATGTTCATTTTTGTGGCCCTTATATGGCCATTTGGCAAGGACAAACAGATCCATGTATAAACCAAAATGACTTGGATAACTTTATTTATAAAGAAAAAATTACAAAATCTCTTGAATTCCTTCATCCTAGCATAGCGCTTCTGACTTCTGACACTTTTGGGAAGTGAACGAGTTGAAGCAATTTGAACTGTCTGATGAGTAAACCATAGTAAACCGGAGCCCCCAGCTCGCGCATGGAGTTCGCAGTTCTGCTGTTTCGCCTCCAACAACCTTAAAACATCTGAAACCCCAAGCTGTTGATCCAAAATGGCATGCAAAAAGGCTCCACAAATCACCCAGCATGCAGAAGTTCCAACAATTCCAGCTAAGGCTTTTGCGCCTTCTGAAGCTTTGCAACCTGAACAAGCGTGGCTCCAACACTTTGGTCGCAACATGACGCAGCACATCTCCCATGCTTACCAATCTTACCAGAATTAAATGAAATCCTGTTAGAAATCTTTCTATACCATAGTCATCGCCATATGATTGATTACTTAATACTGTAGCTACCCTACTGGAAATCCTGTTTGGGGGGGGCCAACGGAACACCAACTGTTGGCCAAAACAACTTGCTACGCCCCAGCGCCTCCAGTTGGAGGTCACCTTCTGCATAGCCATCGCTTCCGGCCTTGCGAGCCTCACGAGACGCCTTTCCCATGAGTTGGGTCGTCCATCACGGCGTCAGCGCTCTCTTTCAGGTGCCTTGACTATCCTTCAAAAATTCATTTAATTTCTACATGTACCCAGAAATCTGGAACTTTCAACAATCTTAGACCATGTTTGAAATTGTCGAGGTCTGCAAATGTGTCCAAGAGAATGTGTCCTGGCACATCTTTAAAAAAACACATCCTGCATCAACTATCACCTTCAGATATGCTACATGCACCTGAGCACCAGTACATGTGAAATTGTTTTTGGTTGGACTCCTCTCCTGCTTTGAGCTGCGCGTTCATGCCGGAACGCCTCCACTAGATTCAGCCAAGGCACCAAGCCATGAATTTGGCTGCGGGGAAGAAACAGGAGTCAATTGTGCAGCCAATCAACACCACACATCAAGAATGTACACGAATGGCCATAAACATCACAATCTGACGATATTTTCTGTACACTTTTTTCTGCAACACATGTTCTGTACAAGGACGTTTTCGCTCAGAACCTCCCTGGACCAACTGAGATGTCCATGGAAGGCGTGGAAGGTACGGCTGCTCGCAGGTCACTGTGCTTTGTCTGCAGCCTCTAACGCTGCATCAAGCCTTGGTCATGGTTGGTCCAAGTTGGCCCCAAGAATAGGAGATACCCATGGATACCCAATCCAATTTATGCTAATGTATGGCCATGTCAAGGGGAAATTGATCATCAACCATGAGATTTGGGGGGTGTGAAATAACATTGAAGATCCTGTATGCTTCTGTTGTGGTGACATACCTCTTCATTGTCTTTTCTGTTTGACCAAAGTTGATTCTGGAGAGTCTTGAAAGGATTTCACAAGTCTGTTTAAAACTGATTTGACACATCTTGCGACAGTGTGAATCATTCAATCATTCATCATCTACACTGCTTGCAGCCATGTGTCAAGAGGCTCAACGGATCATCAGCCTTTTTCTTTCTCTGTGGCGACCTGTTCAATGGTGACCATTGGTTGTCGATGGTTGTAAGCACCTGTTTCCAGTGCACTCAAGAGAACATGTTGCTACATGCAAACTGGCAAAGGAGGTCCTTGTATGTTGCTCGGATCATCCCGGAAATTTAGTAATTAATTATCATAGATTCATAGATCATCACACATCATCACAGTGATCACCTCATCGTAACTTCCTCCGCACCTGGGTCGCACCTCCGGCACCACCGGCGCCGCGGGCGCCGCGGCTTCCGGTGGTGCATCGGCTGCCAGGGGGGCCGCCAGTGCAACAGCATCCGCGGATGGTTTCGGCTTGGCCTTGGCCTAGGGCCCGCAGGAGATTTCGTGTATTACATCCGGCAATACATCCATCTAATGTCTATATATGTCCATATAATGTCATTGATAACCTGATGATTAATCAAAGATAAGTTAAGTTGGGAAAAGTACAGTAATTACTGTAACAGTTTGTGACATGTTTCCATAGATGCCATAGACAGGTCGGGTGACCCACTGCAGCCGCTCTAACCAGCAAACCTTGCTACACAATCCCCCAACCACCATCAGCCATCAAATGCCATGACAATTTTCTAGGCAATCCTGAACCAGATCTATTGGGCGCAACATCGCGCAACCCATGAACTTTCACTTACTTGAGTTACTCGAGGTTTTCGCATCAAAATAGCGTCAAAATCATGGAAAAATTGATGAAATTTGTACCATTCATAACGTTCAAACGGACAGATCGCCTTGCGGCTGCGTTTGGGCTTTGGTTCAGGAGCTTCTCCCTCAGCCTCAGCCTTCTCGGAGGGGCGTTTCCTTCCATGGCCAGCACTGCCGCAACACTCAAAATAACCAAAAAAAACCTGATAATGATCATAATCATGATAACAATCATCATCATCATCGTCATCATCATCATCATCATCAACATCATCATCATCATCGTCATCGTCATCATCATCAGCATCATCATCAGCAGCAGCATCATGGTCATCATCATCATCATCATCACCATCATCATCTTCATCATCTTCGTCATCATCATCAGCATCATCATCATCATCAGCATCGTCATCATCATCATCACCATCATCATCATCATCATCATCGCCATCATCATCATCATCGTCATCGTCATCATCATCAGCATCATCATCAGCAGCATCATCATCATCAGCATCATCATCGTCATCGTCATCGTCATCATCATCATCAGCAGCAGCAGCATCATCATCAGCAGCAGCATCATCATCAGCAGCATCATCATCATCATCAGCATCAGCATCATCATCAGCAGCAGCATCATCAGCAGCATCATCAGCAGTATCATCATCATCATCGTCATCGTCATCATCATCATCATCACCATCACCGTCATCATCATCATCATCGTCGTCATCATCATCATCGTCGTCATCATCATCACGTCGTCATCATCATCATCGTCGTCATCAGCATCATCATCATCATCAGCAGCAGCACCATCATCATCATCACCATCATCATCACCAGCAGCAGCAGCATCATCATCAGCATCATCGTCATCATCATAATCATCATCGTAATCATCATCATCATCATCATCATCATCACCATCATCATCACCATCATCATCACCAGCACCATCATCATCATCATCATCACCATCATCATCACCATCATCATCATCATCAGCACCATCATCATCATCACCATCATCATCACCAGCAGCAGCAGCATCATCATCATCAGCATCATCGTCATCATCATTATCATCATCACCGTCATCATTGTCATCATCATCATCGTCATGAAGTTTAATAACATACCATTAGATCCTCCACCCTGAAAGGGTCCTTGGCTTTCTCGCTGGAGCTGCCGGAGCCACATCTGGAGCGTCTCGGATCGCTGGGAGCTCCTGGGAGTTCACGAGGGTACTGAAGATGTATGTTCTAGTGTCTTGAAAAACATATAAGAATCTCATAAATAATTTATATATATATATATATTATATATTATTATATGTATTATATTCCAATATTATCGCATCTATATTGCTAAACACATCAATAATCATTTCGAATATGAAATCATGAAATGCCATGAAATGGTATCCATTTAACTTCTAACTTACGCATAATCTGGAATCTGTTATTTTGCTGGCTTTCAGTTTCCATAATACATGAAATATCATGACATGATTATCCATTGAAACGTGAAGAAATGTCTTGGACGCATTCTACAGTACCATTCCCCACGTCCGAGCCTCTGGTGCTTCAGCATTTGGTGCCAAGTATATGGTCGGCCTCAGTGGAATCCACTGAAGGGGGTCTTCTCTAGCTGCTGATTTCTGTTTGGCTACAAACAAATGAGATTGGACTCAACCTGCAGGTCTTAGGTCATCTTGAGTAATTAGTAATTACATGTAATTACTTAATAATAGTCCAATCATTTTTGCTATATTCAATCTACCACAAAGATTGGGGTTAAGATCTCTTTCCAGACTTTGTGAGAAGTCACATCCCTGAGGCAGCAACTGCCCTGGCTTGGTGATTTTGCGAAAATGGTGCATGGAAGAAGAAACCTGGGAGATGCAAACACGGCGAAAAACCAGCTGGATAGCAGTGTCAAATTGTACTCAATCCACTCCTCTACTGTAGAATTCCTAGAAATTAAATTTTCTGGAACAGAAATCCATTGAAAAGGAAGCAATCTGGCACCGCCTATCATCTGGCCAGGTCTTTGGGATGAAGTGGTTGAAATCGGAGGATACTTAGACCTCCCTTGATGTCGCCATCCTTCAGGGCAGCACAGTGGAGTGCCACACCTCAGGACGCCATCTGATATCATTTGGCTCTGCAAATAGGATACAGTACCCAAAAAAAATCCATGGCTCATCATCATTGTCCCCATTTAAGTATGTCTACTATGATTATTACTTCTTTTTTAATCTTATCATATCTTATCTATTTAAGTTGCAATTGTGTGTTTCTGGACAAGGCCATCAGCTAAGGAGGTCGTTTTCTTACAGTATCTGCAGACAAAGCTCAGGCTTTCGATGACCGTCGCGGACATGCCTCGATTTCCGTAGTGAACTTATGGGATTGGGGTAGGGTACCCCCACTGGTTGAGGAAAATACCCCAGTGTAACGGAAACATCCGAGGATAGGTAGTATAGGTTCCAGCTTGCGATTTATGAATAAACCGTAGTAAACAGTACTAATTACGGACCGGTGGCCAATAAAATCAACAAAACTGTCGGAAAGGCCGCACGAACTTTTGCACATTCGATTTCAACACCGAAGCCCCCGGGGCCAGGGCCACCTGCAGCTATTTTAAAATATACACCGTCGTCAAAAAGGATGGTGGGAAAGCCTTCTTTGGGGTATTATGACAATGTCATCTCATGTCCATCCACATAGCTATTGCATGCTATTGCTAGATGTCGCTGGCTTGCTGTCACCAGGTCACCAATTCAGCTTTGCTTCTCGGATCTTCTCCAGCTCCTCAGGATGCTGTTCGATCCATTCGATCACTTGACCTCGGTCCAAGGATTGATCCGGAAATTCACTTTCCACTTGGCTTCAGCCATTGAACTGGGATATCAGTGGGATAGCCAATGGACTGCAAAAACATCACTACAGCATGCCGTGGATCTCGTCAAGCGGCGGCTGGAGGCTTGTCCACCCAGATTTTCCAGGGCCTGAAGCAACGATGCAAAGCTAGCATGGGAATGAAACGAGCAGCATGGGTTGTCACATGGGAATGGAACGAATGGAATGGCAGGGGTCAAACTTTCAAACCATCACTCTTTGTGGAGGTCTCTGTTCATGTTTTTTCCGTCTTTTTTTATCTTGTACCGAAAAGTCCAAGTTTGGAGCAAGAAATGGTTAACATTGGTTAACCAGTCAACCACGCCCAAACTGCCAGAACTTTTCTTGGCCCTGATCAACTCGCAGACTCTCAGAACCCGACTCGCTCAATGACCAGTTTGGTGCCTGAGCCGGGTCAAAGATACAGCAGAGATCTATCAACAGGGGCTGGCAAAATGGAAGGCATATGAGCTGTTAGAAGTATTTAGACATTACAGTATAAGCCTATGATTTGCTCCAGTTGGCCATAATCATCGCTGCCAAAGTACGCCGGCCCTCGATGGGGCCAAGATGTTGTCGCGCGGCGCCGGATTTTTCATGTTCCTCGATGGTTTGCACCAAATCCTGACGAAGCAGAAATGTGAAGCTTGCTGCTGCATGTCACATGTGGTTTCTTCTAGTTTGAACCCTGAAAATTATATAAAGTAGGGAATTGGGAGGATAAGTGAAACCTGATTGAAAGATATTGAAAGTACAAACGAGCAAGATTCGGCATACTGCTTACCCGCAGCACATTGCAGCGATCAAGCCTCCAACTGAGCCCATTGATGACCTTAAGATGGGCAAGTCACTGTGCAGATCTTCTACTGGATGTTTTGGTGATGGAGTTTCAAGGCAGTTTTAGGACCAATATGGAGGCAATTTCAAAACTTCAAACTTGATATTGCACGTGAGCGCTGTCAGTGAACAATTTCCATGCACAGAAGCAGGAAGTCTTTTGTTGCAGCCGCACTGTCGCTGAATGCTAAATCAAGGCTTCGCTTCAGCGACTTTCCTTGGATATCTTGGATCAAGAGTTTCTTGTGGGGCCGGGATTCACAACATGTTTTCTACTGCCATATGGATAAGTCTAGCCAAAGAGAAAGGAGAATCGCCTACCGCCTGGAATTTGTCGACAGGAAAAATCTAGGTTTCCTTGGATTTCCATGGCGCACCGCTCAAAATCCAAATTGGTTTCCGTGCCGCCAAGTGTCCTTCCTCCTTGCGCAGCCAGTCCTGTAAATTATCCGAACATTATGGAAAATGCAAATTCTTTCTGAGCAAGTTTGATTGTGCTTGGAAGGGAAGAACCAAACACAACATTGGAGAATATTTTTCAGATGCTTTTTTACATGTCACAACACTGACATGTCTCACCAAACACCGACTCTCAAAGATCTTCAAGTTCCTCTTGTAAATCGGTTGTTGGAGCATTCTCCTCACGTCTAAAGTCTAAAAGGAAAACAAACCAGCGTTTAAAAAACAATAAGCTTCGGTGGTATCCCCAACAGCCGCAACGCTTTATTTTTACAAATCTTTCTGAAGCGTGCTGCCAAGCCAAGCGCTGGAAACACCTCAGCTACTTTTCTGTGGGTTTCCGTGAATTACAATAAATGGCCGCAAATCCTGTTGAACCTGATCTGTCTCTGCACCAAAGCCTCCCAGACCTTCTCCGGAACCTTCTCCGGATCCCTGTTGAACTTGACCTGGCTCTGCAGCAAAGCCTCCCGGAACCTTCTCCGAAACCTTCTCCGGAACCCTGTTAAACCCAACCTGGCTCTGCACCAAAGCCTCCCAGACCTTCTTCGGAACTTTCTCCAGAACCCTGTTGAACCTGACCTGACTCTGCACCAAAGCCTCCCGGAACCTTCTCCCCAGAACCTTCTCCGGAACCTTCTCCAGAACCTTCCCCGGAACCTTCTCCGGAACCCTGTTGAACCTGACCTGGCTCTGCACCAAAGCCTCCCAGACCTTCTCCGGAACCTTCGGAACCTTCGGAACCTTCTCCGGAACCTCGTTGAACCTGACCCGGCACCTGCACCAGTGCACACCGGAGCTATTCTGGGCTGAAGACCCCGTTAGCTTATGCTGTTGGGGAAACATGTCTTTGAACAAAATGATCGAATATGATGTGTATATATATATATATATATGTATATATATATAATACTATGACGTAATGACGTAATGTTTCCTTTGGATCAGAGACTCCACCATCTCGACATGTCTTAACACAGGCCTCGACGCCAAGCAAGCCCCGTTGCTTCAGCTGATCAGGTGCCCGGCTGTGCCGAAAGGAGTTGGCCTCGACGCCCCAAAAATCCCGGTGCCTGGACTTGCAATTTTCGAACAAACAAATAGACAGTTCAGAAAGTTCCAAGAGGATGTCATCTTGCACATCTTTTTCAGATTCTATTCTATATATTTCTATATATTCTATGCGTTTGCAGAAGATAAACTTCTGTGCGTTTTTGGTGTCCAGCTTCTGTTTCTTCTTTGCAGCAGCATAAGAAGCAAACATCCGCTGTACCCTTGCAGCTGAAGGACTGCGCAATCCGCAAGCTGGTTGTCTGACATCTCCAGCCTCGGAAAGGGTCCAGTTGGTACCGCAATTGGCAAAGTTGTGTTCTTGCTTGTGAACTCTATGTAGCTCAGTGCAGGCTCAAAATGTGGTTGCAAGCTTTGGGACCCATTGCCCCGAAATCTTAACTGCAAATCTCCGAATGGCGAAAGGCAAGAATCTGAAGTATCAAAATGTATCAACTATCAACTTCCCAAGTTGTCACCTTGCCTCACATTGCCTCGTTTTAGTGGTCATCTGCGACTTTGCCATTTGGCTGCCGGTCAAGGGACTGATCTCGACAACGCTGAAACTCTTGAAGGAGGCTGGGGCCAAAGAGCAAAGGGTCATCCGAATTGATGCTGCACGGCCTCCGTATGGATGGAACGTCAGCTATGGCAGCCACAAGGCCCTACAAGTATTGGAACTTGTAAAGATGGAGCCTCCATTATCAGGTCTTTCGTAAGGTTAGGATGTGTTAAGATTTTAAAAGTTCCGAAATGCTTCTGACAGCTGCTGCACCAAGAAATGTAAAGATTGAAAAGTTTGGGCTTTTGTTTTGATGGATTCTTCCTTCCCGGACTATTGCCAGCTTCGGAGGTCATCAATTTCTTCTATATACGGTCGTCTTCCAACCATTGACTCCGCAATGCTGGGGGTTCTCACGATGGTTCCTTTGGTTCTCTTCAGCGAACAGCTGCTGAGGTCCAAACACACCAGCTTCCAGAAATTTGGTTAGTGGGGAGTCCTTCACAGCCACCACCCCAAGCAGCTCATTGCTGCTGGGGCAAATGTCTAAACCTCAGAAATTTCTGGCCAAGTCTGCAGAAACCTCTGCCACAAAAGGGAATGGCTGAATGGCTCAATAAGATTGAGATATGAATGGATTCATGACTTGCCATACATGGCTGGTCATTGTGAATATGAAACCATCTAGTCTTGGGAGGCAACAATCAAAACCTGGAAAAAAATCTTCAGGATCGGTGCTGGGGTTCAGGCATATCTGCAACTTTGCCAGGTGTTGAATCAACTCTTCATCTTCCATACTGAGCACTCCATGGGCAATTCTTTTGGCTCCAAGGACATCCACGCAGAATCTGACCTGTGCAAACGCGGCTTCAAGAGTTTGACCCCAGCGCCAAGAGCTTCCCTGCACACCAAAATTACCCAAAAACTTGGATGATAGGTACCAAATACCAAAAATCACCAAAAATCATCAAATTAATCCAAAACAATCTAAAATCCCATTGGCCTCATGATCTTCAACCACCTATTGGAACATGTCTCAACATGTCTCAACCACTTTGGATACGAAATCTTCAGCTGAGCATCACTGGCCGGCCCCAGTCCGGGTCCCGGGGCAATCTCCCCAGCGTGTGGCAGGGCAACCACCTCACTGCAGACGCTGCGGAAGGCGTCCGCGAACCGCTCCGGTGGGTTACCAGCCTGAGACCGGGCTTCGGTTAGCAGCACCAAAAATCACCAGAAGTCATTTTTTGGGAAATATGTACACACATATACCTGAGAAGGGGGGAACGAAAGCCAGCATCCCATCTACCCCTATTTTCCCCCAATGATTTTTCACCCACAGACTTTTCCCCCACATACTTTTCACCCAGAGACTCTTCACCCAGAAATCCTTCTTGCACATACTTTTCACCCAGAGACTCTTCACCCAGAAACTCTTCACCAAGAAACTCTTCTTGCACATACTTTTCACCCAGAGACTCTTCACCCAGAAACTCTTCTTGCACAGACTTTTCACCCAGAGACTTTTATTCAGAAACTCTTCTTGCTCACACTTTTCACCGATATACTTTTCACCCAGAGACTCTTCCCCAGAAACTCTTCTTGCACGTACTTTTAACCCATATACTTTTCACCCAGGGGCTCTTCACCCAGAAACCCTTCTTGCACAGACTTTTCGCCCATATACTTTTCACCCAGGGACTCTTCACCCAGAAACTCTTCACCCAGAAACTCTCCTTGCACATACTTTTCACCTATATACTTTTCACCCAGAGACTCTTCACCCAGAAACTCTTCTTGCACATACTTTTCACCCATATACTTTTCACCCAGAGACTCTTCACCCAGAAACTCTTCTTGCACATGTACTTTTCACCCAGAGACTCTTCACCCAGAAACTCTTCTTGCACATACTTTTCACCCATATACTTTTCACCCAGAGACTCTTCACCCAGAAACTCTTCTTGCACATACTTTTCACCCATATACTTTTCACCCAGAGACTCTTCACCCAGAAACTCTTCTTGCACATACTTTTCACCATATACTTTTCACCCAGAGACTCTTCACCCAGAAACTCTTCTTGCACATACTTTTCACCCATATACTTTTCACCCAGAGACTCTTCACCCAGAAACTCTTCTTGCACGTACTTTTTACCCATATAATTTTCACCCAGAGACTCTTCACCCAGAATCTCTTCTTGCACAGGCTTTTCACCCATATACTTTTTACTCAGAAACTCTTCACCCGGAAACTCTTCTTGCACATACTTGTCACCCATATACCTTTCACCCAGAGACTCTTCACCCAGAGACTCTTCTTGCACATACTTTTCACCCAGGGACTCTTCACCCAGAGACTCTTCACCCAGAAACTCTTCTTGCACATACTTTTCACCCAAGGACTCTTCACCCAGAAACTCTTCTTGCACGTACTTTTTACCCATATACTTTTCACACAGAGACTCTTCACCCAGAAAATCTTCTTGCACATACTTTTCACTCATTTACTTTTCACCCACAGACGGATCAACCATATATTTCTCACCCACAGACTTTTCCCCCATATGCCTTTCACCCATAAACTTTTCACCCAGGGACTCATCCAGAAAATCTTCTTGCACAGACTTTTCACCCAGAGACTCTTCACCCAAAAACTCTTCTTGCAGATACTTTTCACCCAGAAACTCTTCACCCAGAAACTCTTCTTGCACATACTTTTCACCCAAGGACTCTTCACCCAGAAACTCTTCTTGCAGATACTTTTCACCCATATACTTTTCACCCAGGGACTCTTCACCCAGAAACTCTTCTTGCACAGACTTTTCACCCAGAGACTCTTCACCCAGAAACTCTTCTTGCACAGACTTTTCACCCAGAGACTCTGATTCAGAAACTCTTCTTGGACCTACTTTTCACCCATATACTTTTCACCCAGAGACTCTTCACCCAGAAACTCTTCTTGCACATACTTTTCACCCATATACTTTTCACCCAGAGACTCTTCACCCAGAAACTCTTCTTGCACATACTTTTCACCCATATACTTTTCACCCAGAGACTCTTCACCCAGAAACTCTTCTTGCACATACTTTTCACCCATATACTTTTCACCCAGAGACTCTTCACCCAGAAACTCTTCTTGCACATACTTTTCACCCATATACTTTTCACCCAGAGACTCTTCACCCAGAAACTCTTCTTGCACATACTTTTCACCCATATACTTTTCACCCAGAGACTCTTCACCCAGAAACTCTTCTTGCACATACTTTTCACCCATATACTTTTCAGAGACTCTTCACCCAGAAACTCTTCTTGCACATACTTTTCACCCATTACTTTTCACCCAGAGACTCTTCACCCAGAAACTCTTCTTGCACAGACTTTTCACCCAGAGACTCTTCACCCAGAAACTCTTCTTGCACATACTTTTCACCCATATACTTTTCACCCAGGGCCTCTTCACCCAGAAACTCTTCTTGCACATAATTTTGACCCAGGAACTCTTCTTGCACAGGCTTTTCACCCAGAAATTCTTCTTGCATATACTTTTCACCCATATTTTTTTCATTCAGAGACTCTTCACCCAGAAACTCTTCTCGCACATACTTTTCACCCATATACTTTTCACCCAGAGACTCTTCACCCAGAAACTCTTCTTGCACATACTTTTCACTCATATACTTTTCACCCACAGACGGATCAAACTTATATTTCTCACTCACAGACTTTTCCCCCATATACCTTTCACCCATAAACTTTTCACCCAGAGACTCTTCACCCAGAAAATCTTCTTGCACAGACTTTTCACCCAGGGACTCTTCACCCAGAAACTCTTCTTGCACATACTTTTCACCCATATACTTCTCACCCAAAGACGGATCAACCATATACTTCTCACCCACAGACTTTTCCCATATATACTTTTCACCCATATACGTTTCACCCAGAGCCCCCCCCAGTATTTTCACTTCGTTCGCAAACAACAACTGGCCAGCTTCCCGGCCGGCTTTCGTAAAAAATATAATATATAAATATATACATATATAGATATATATATATATAAGCGAACCCGGCCTGAATTGTCAGGAATGCTCTACATTCTGCTTCACAGGCCATTATGTACCTCCTCCACGGTACTTTTTGTGGTTAATTTTTGTGACAGCTGCTATGTCTACGCCTTCAAACCTCGCATTATGCGCTAGCCCTCCTTCCTCCTTCACACAAACACCTTCCCATCTGACATCACAGTGCCCGACAAAGACCCTCGAGCCGGGCGACTTTTGTCCTTCCTCCACCAACATCGACAGCAGTGGCAAAAGGCGCCTTTACCCTTACCTTTCCTATCTGTGCTAGCACTCCTTCCCCCTTCTCGCAGACATCGGCTCCTCTGCCAAGCACCCCAAAAGGCTCCCCAAAATGCGGACCTAGGGGGAATCGATACCCTACCGTCACCCTTTTGCCGCATGGTACATGACCCGGAAAAACGCTCCCAAAACACACCCTTCCCCCCAAGTAATAGCGAGATTTTGGCCCACTTGGGCAAGCCCTCCCCCCAGACCCCCTTATACTCACTTTGTTCGCAGACAGCAACGATCCAGCTAGCTGGCTTTCGTAATATATATATATATATAAATATGTATATATACGTATAATTATTATAAATCATTCATCTGACTGACTTCATCTGTCCTTTACCAACTTCAAGGGAATCCACTCTTTGCCATCCCTTTGATAACATCCTTTGCCTCTGCTCCATGTAGACCGAAGCCAATGATGCCAGGGCGTCCGTGGATGGTGCCCCTTCCAGAGGTCACCACATCCTTTACCTCGAGCAGAAAATGAAGTCACTGACCCTGCAAGTTCAATCAACATTGTTTATGGTGATATTATGTTGGTTATCCATGGTTATCCATGGTTATCCACTATCAATGGGGAATACATCACAAACAATGTGATATGCTTTTGCCATGTCATCTCCTAGGGTTGAAAAAAAATGCAATTCCGTGGATGGTGCCGCGAATTTTGTTTGGTCTTTGCACTATGACTTATCTAAATAGTCTGAAACACGGCATTTTATCTTTCATGTTTGAAGCCGTAGCTAAAACTTGCAGTAAATGCTTACGCACGTCTATATGAAGTGGGTGTCGCTGCTAGTTATTCGTGGTGGAACTGGAATATGTTTTCATCTGCTGCAGGGCTTGTCATTGCCTTTGCTGTCACTGTTGCCTTTGTCAAACAGACAGGGTGAACTACAAGCTCTCTGGTGGCGAATGGGTCACGGCTCAGCCAAAGCCACTTCTTGAAACTGTTGCTAGCGGGGATCTAGCGGGCAAAATTACGTACAAATTCGCAAAATTGAACCGCAACCTCTTAAATGTAGGAAAATTGTTGAGTAGCAGAGAAATTCACTAAGACATCTTAAGGAGCTAAGTGTTACATCTTGACTTTTCTTCATGTTGAAATAACAAGCAGTCAGGAACACATAAAACATATCCTTGAACATGGTGCGAAAAAAACAAAAAAACTAGCGCAAACCTAGCGGGTTTGCTAGCGCTGCCTTGCAGAATTGGTGAATTTAGTTAAGTGCCGCCTCATAACGAAGAGGAAAAACCACTAGGTCCACACTAATTATCAACAACTGGTACAAAGCTTCTGCCAACTATTTTTGGCAAATGGTCGTTGTTGCCTGAAATGTTCGAAGAGGAAAACCATGGCTTCAAAACCTCCAAAATCAATCCAAATCATCCAAATCCACTGCTTATGTCATCATTAAATCATCATAAATCATGATCTTCCCATATTTTTCACCACATTTTCCCACATTTCCCCTCTGAGAATCGCCATTCGGCCAAGGCACAGCTCGAGCCAAGGCCTCAGCACGCTCCACGGGCAAATGGCGTTCGGCTGCAACGATGAATCCTCGCCGTCATTGGAGGTCAACACCCTCTGTCATCACGGTGAATGTATGGCTTTCTTTAATGTTTTAGATGGTTTTTCATAGGGATAAATAATTGAGATGACCATGGTTTGATAGGGATTAATGGAGGATTTTTTTAATGATAAATCCATTGATATAATAGATGATGGATAGGAGGCTTCAATGGATTTATCATTGGATTTATCCTCCAATTTATCCGGTGGCAAAGCTGGGAAATCCATCCTACACCAAATGGAGGTTTTTTGAGCTGGGAAAATGATCCGGGAACTTGCCATGTTATCCATGTTTGATTACCAAAATTTCCAATAGTGCCACCAAAATGACTACTTACTACTTGAAATGTAGGGAAAATATATGAAAATATGGGAAGATGGCGATTCGCCAATAGATTTCCCCTAAATGATCAGACAAGCCCAGTCGTCGGGACCTTAGCTCTCAAGTGCAACAGCGGCACCAACTTTCAGAGTACGCTGGGTTTTTCTGTGTTTGCTCTGACCAAACATGACCAAAGAGATGTAGAAACACACAAAATATCAGAGAGTTGCCCCTTTTGGAAGAACGGCATCGCCATGCATCGCCGGTTTTTTTGAAGTCCAAGCTGCCAATTGCCACGCCAGTGCGGGTCTCTGCTACTTCTGCAGCTTTCATCAACAAGTCCAAAGAGGCCTTGATACCACCTGGAAGAGGCAGCGGCCATTGCTGTCCAGATTCAACAGCTCCAAATTTGCAGGTGAAATCAGGTGAATATGTAGCGCAACCTACAGGGTCAGCACCAAATCTGAGTGGAACACAGTGGAACTAGTTTTGATGTTTTGATCATCAGAAACACCAGGTCCCAATGGTCCCAAAGCTGAGAGTGCCAAGTTGCCAAATCGATCCGCATAAAGCTCGATGGATAGAGCTGGCTCTATCCACAGAGCACCTTCCGACGTAGGCTTTTTGGTTGAGTTGCACGGTCTTCGGAAGTTGATATTGCTCCGACTGACTTTGAAGAACTGAACCATGTTGCATTATGTTGCATTTAAAATACTGAAAGCCACATAGAAGCTGGAATTTAATGGAAAGGAACCATCGCATTCATAATTTCATAATCCTCAAGCTCAAGGTCTCGATTCTCACGTCATTCTCTTCGACTCTGCCCTGTGTCACCGCTTCACCATGTGGCCTGATTTTGCTGCATCCTCTGCTACCTCCAGCACCAACCGTTGCAGGTCACTCTCTTCTCGCAAACATTCGCAAACGGCGATGTAGCAGCTGGCGAACCTCACAAAGATTGGAGCCAGCTATGACCCGTTTTTTAAGGTGCTTTTGAGTTTGCCATGCCGGTGACTCATGTTGACTCATGTTGACTCATGTTGACTCATGTTGACTCATGTTGACTCAAACCGGACTCGGAGCTACTTTGGTGCATAGGGAGCTACGCCACAAAAACTTTGCTGGCCGTAATTTTCATCAGCGCAGCATAGCGCAGCGCATATCTTCGGGGTCTGTTCTCCAGGGTCTTCGGGAAGTGCCAAGAAACGGAGAGAAGTCAGAGAAGCTCTTGCCACGCCTTGAGTGACCAATTTGGGGATAGAACTGCCAGTCTCATTCCTCCTTTGCCTTCACAGTTGATTGATCAGTGAATCAAAATAGTATGAAGGAGCGAGTGGAACGTTCCAAAAAGGCTGCAGGTGGTGAAATGAGGTATGGTTGGAAGTATTTTGGCATAACGAAATAAGATCGCAGCACTATCAAATTCTAACGCCAAGTCGGAATAGCGGGGTGAAGTTTCAAGAGATCCCTTCCGCCAGGTGCTGAATGCTGCTTGGTTACGTATCCATTGGCCGTTCCACGCCATGTTTCCTACATAAATCGCTGAGCGTCTCTGGACCTCAGGATCTTTCAGGTGCTCTGGATGTTCATTGCTTGCTGCACCGTACTGCTAATGATAATGCACAAACCTGTACCTAATGTGGTAATCCCAATGCTATAGCTGCTCTAAAACAACCGTTTTTATGGGTGGGATTGAATTTCCATCAATGGTAGGTTTATGGCATTGTCCTACATTCCAACATACCACGTACTAAAACTCCAGCTGAGCCACGCATCGCCCCCTCGAGGTGTATATGGAGCTCCTCAATAGAGGGCTCTTAAGTATCGGAAGGGGGAATCCATCTGTCCCAAAATCACCATTTTGATGGTGGTATAAACCATCCCCAAATGGTGGGTTTGTTAAGTTTATTACAGTATGGGTCTTGTGGAATGGGGAAATCACAATTTTTGGACCTCCGGCCCAACGTCATGCAACATCCACAAGGCTTCTGGTGCTTGTTCTGATTTAAGATGAGGGTTCGCAGTTGCCTCTAGGTGAAATCGTTTGAAATTGGAAAGGTGCCTGAACCAATTTGGAACATGCACGAGATGGAAGTGCAGTGGAGTCAGTGAAGCAACTGATGGTTGGGGAAAAGCAGTGGCAAATTTGATGTCTTGCTTGGTTTGCAAAGATTTTCCAAACATGCAATTCCTGTCCAAAGAAAAGACGACGGTGAAATTCCCAAGCAGAAATCGCTTGAAGAAAGTGCTGTCATGTGCTGTCGCTGTCGTCACAATGCACCGTGAGGCGTTAGCCAATTCAGCCCTTGCCGAGATGTGTCGCTCAGCTCATCGGACTTGTTGCGCCAAGTCTCTGCTTTCGGAAGGCTCACCAAACACCGCGGCATGGTGCGGGTCGCAGCCGCGGCACCACTTGAGCAAAAAGGGTGCTGAGGACTGAGGATTGAGGATATCAGTGATGAGAGACTGGATGGGTGCAGGTCACAATTGATAATCAAAAGAATTGTGTGGCTCCCTGCCTGTTGAAGTATGACCCATCAGATATTGCCAAGACTTCTCCGATCCTACTTCCAAGGTACTGCTAGCGCGAGGAGTTTGGTTTGTCTGGGTATTGGTGAACAGCTATCTGCCAGTGATCACGTGGAAATTCCGACACTGCCATCTGCGGTGAGCCATCTCTGAGCTCTGGTACCTGCCATCGCTTCAATGATGTCGGTTCTCTCGCCGGCTTTGGCTTTGAACCTGGAAAAAACACATCCACTGTGGGGGAAAAAACACATCCACAACTCAAGATGGGCGAAGTTTTTGCTTGTCTAACATGTGGATTTTGAGCAAAACCGATTGCCATATTATCCATATTCTACAAGCTGAGTGTCCAAAACTCTTCGATGGCAAAACTTCCCATTGAATGGTTGGATATGGTTGGAATCGCCATGAGATAATGGGTTTTTTAAGTGTCCAAAACCTCCAAAAATGGCTCAGATCCCCCATCCCACCATCCCCTTGGAGGACTTCCATAGCTGGTCTCGCCTGTTGATGCGCGATTTCACAGCCTCCAGAGCAATCTTCAGGACCTGCAGACAGATTCATACGCCTCGTGCCTGGGTATCAACATAAGGGGTTTCATCGGTTTTCTGTCGTTTTCTATCTTTTCTGGTGTGTCTAATCTTTCCATCGATTTCCTCGTCAGCAAAATCTCTGGAAGCCACAACTGCACTAAAAAAAACATCCGACTTCATCCGACCGCTCGCCTCCCCTCCAACACCAGACTCCCAAATGCGCTTGAGGCAATCCACGACCTCACAAGGTCGACTCCCGCTGACCATGTCTGACCATGTCTGACCATGTCTGACCATGTCTGACCATGTCATCTCAGTCTCAGGTTCCAACAACCTGGCGCAATCTCGCTTGCTCTTTTTTCTTCAATTCTTCCTGCACAAAAATCCACCAGGGTTGGGGTGCATGTCATCCGGTTTTTCCCTGTGGTTTTCCGTGTCCATGGGTAAAAATCTTTGCCGCTTTGCCCTGGTATCAAGCCCCAAGCAGCTTACAACTTGCGTAAATTGTCCCAGGTCCTTGCAATCGTCGTCCCTAGGCTGAGTTGGTGTCTCAGACAAAACTGCAACGACAGAGTCTTCGCAAAATTCTCTGAATCCTTTCATGCATGCGCCACGCAGTCGAGTTTTCAGGTTTCATTACCATCACATACCCATTTCTTGGACCGAAACAGCCCAACCCTGCCAGCGCCATCTTTTTTTGTCGCAGCTATCGCTCGGTTATTGTGGATGCCTTTTGGCCTCGGTCGGCACCGAGCCAACTGAGCACAGCTGGCAATTCTTATCACCAACTCATCCGCGCCTTCAAGGAAACCTTTCCTTTAGGCTCCTTGCAAAGCTCAAGCCTTCTTAATTCTTGAGGATAAACCCTGAGAATATTATAGAATACATAATTATATATATATATACATATACATAATTATATATATATACATATACATAATTATATATATACACGTGTATACATATATATATACTTCCGGCAGAGACAGTTTCAAACAAGTTGGCATTTTGCATCAAATGTTTGTCAAGCTCTAAATCATGCTCTCTATAGTGTTCTCTTTACATCATGCGTCAATGGCACTGACAAGATCTCCTCCTTCGCAACACTCTCTTCCTTGTGGATCTTCTCTCCCTCGCTTTCTTCCAGCTCCTCGGACATGGCCGCACGAAACCCAAGATAATCCAAGATACCCAAGTCATGGGCATCCAATTTGCAAGCGTAAAAGGGGACTTGCACACTGAAATTAAAGCCACAGAAGGTCACAGCACAACAGCCAAACCAGGATTGATCAAGTGTCTATGTGCTATCATGTGCTATCTATGATTCAAACTGATTCAATACATTCGGAATTAGGGGTTGATTGCAGTTGCCAGTGCGCTGTCTCAGGTTCATACTCGCTTCAACTCCTGCAACAAGGTGACTACATGACACCAACAGACTAACCCGCTGGCCAAAATGGCAGGAATGTTGTTGAATGTTGTTGATGATTGTTGTATGTTTAACTCTACTTTGTTTTTCTGGGATGAAGATGTGATGAAGCTTGGTCAAACATCTCCCAGTTTTTGTGCGGACGACTTCTTGCGAGGCGGTTCCGCACAGTTTGTCTTACACAAAAACCCTATCGACCCTGACCTGCAGGAGCTTGTCATATCTGGAGCTGCCTGGGAAAGGTTCATGGGCCGATAGTCCAAACGTCAGCTGTCACAACTTGACCAAGGTCAAAAGCTCTGCGGCAAACTCATAATATCATGGGTATCAAATTTCAAGGCCGTGAGGACATGATTTTTTGAGCAAGTCATCCTATGCGGGTTCCCATGGTTCCCAATCATCCATCGCTCTGCATTTTTGCTCCGTATCTCCTCACGAATTCCCAACCTTCCACCTATCTCCAACGTCGAGGCAGGGGCGTTCGCTGTAGACCAAGCCCAGCAGAAGGAAGACCAACAGTCGAGAGAGCGGCATCACCTATGTCACACGTGTCATGGGGAACCCCTCAAACGGGATAATTTCCATCTACAAAATGGATCAAAATGGCACAAGTCCCTGGTTTTCGGGATGGTACGTCCACAATAGATTGGGTAGGCAGTTTTTATTGGGGGGAGCCTCAAACAACATACCGCCGGGATGGGAAGCGGCAGGGTGCAAGCTGCATGCGACCAAGACACAAATGATGAATGTGTTTGTCAGGCTAGAAAGGGATGAGTTCAGCCGATTTGTTGTGCTTTTCTCGAGCCCAAAAGCACCATATCCAGAGCTGCGCAGCGTTTTCTGCCAGGAAAAGCATCATTGATGTGTTTTTTTTTCAACCGGAAGATATAGTATGAGGCATCTTTGAATAGCTGCAAAGACCTGCTTCCTTGCTCATTCACTCACTCTGTTGCTTACTTGCTGGCTGGCTTGCAGCACTGATTTTACTTACCCACTCTCTTCTCCCATCAAGTGTACCTCCCAACATGGCCTTGGGAATTCTCGTTAGGTTTTGTCACACTGGGAACAGTTGCCGTATTTGGTGCTTGGTATCAGATTCATGAGGTCGCTGCATCAACTGCTTGCTCGTAACACCCAGTCTCCGTCTCGGTGTAGTGAGGTCCTGCACCGATACAACAAAACAGCTTCCATTGCTCTCCTGCACCACAGCGGCAACTTTCTCGTGGCCCGCATTGATTTACATGGTCAGAACTATTCAAGAGAAAGCCATCAAATCATTCAACTATTCAGTACATTTCAGTACTATAATTATTATTGTCATTAGTCATTCATTTTATTATCATCATTATCATTATTATCATTATTATCATTTTGGTACTATCATTATTATCATTCAAGTACCACATCATGTTTACATCATGTTTACATGGCCTTGAAGGGAAATTTCGTGTCTGACCGTCTGACCCAACAAGCGCCTTTACTGCTGCCAGGAGTGTGTCACGAAGGGCGTAGACCTAGGGAGCCATAGGGAGCTATGGAGACGGTCCGAACTTGGCAAGTTGGGCAACGTTGGCCATAGACCGGGCCTACGAAGCTACTAGAGGGCCTACGGCCTAGGTATTGGATGCATTTATCATCCAATGGATATTCTAAGATATTTTAGAATTCTTATGACATCTTATTTACCCGGGTAAGACATGGTAAGACTGTTCAGAAAGTTGGCAAGAGTTTCTCGAAACTGTCACTGCACCTTTTGGTTTGGATCCAAAGTCTCATCGAACAAAGGTTGGCCAAAAGGTCAGTACTTTTCAACCACGACATTTCCAGACCCCTTGGACCATTGAGGCTGGGAACATCAGCAGCACCAGTCTGCGCAACACTTTCAAGCTCGTCGACCTGCCGTGTCTCTGTGAGTTGACTCAATGGGTGTCAGTAATGGTTTACCAAAAAATCCTGGTGCCATGCGTGGTACGAAAAAATGTGGATTTTGGTGGATTTTTGAGGGCCATTTTGTAGCCCCAGTCGGTCATTCAATGTTGCAGCCCCAAGGTCAAAACCCGTAGAACCCGTGGCCTTCTTCTTGACCTTTGCTACGACCATGACGTCCTTGCATGCTTCAGCCTTAGCGTCCGAGCTGAAGAACTTGTGGTGATGTCGAGATATCCACTGAGAAATTCTCTACAGCTTGTATACTCTATGACTTTATGACTATATGACTGACATGCACATGCTTCATTATACTTCATAGATATATTAAGAACTATCCAGATGCACAGACTTAGACTTATACCCTGATATATGATATGTATGTATATATATATATATATATTTCTATATATACATAGTTACTATAGTTGTACAGAGATAATGCCAGAAGGATCCTCAAAGCCACGTGCCGCAGCTGGGCATCCCACAACTTCTTGAGCTCGCTCTTCCAGATCGACGACTTCAGGTTCCCCACCTGGCGGAATCAACGGGACCTTGTGGTACTAATACGCGAAGACACCTTGATTCCCCCAAGATTACTTTTAGGCTTGAGGTTTTAGGGATTAAGAATTAGGGTTTTAGGATGTTTTAGGTTTAGGTGTTTAGCGTTTAGGGGTTTTGCTTGATTTTTTGATGGTCTTTGGATGGTTTTGGAGTTTAGGGGGCTTCAGGATGACTTGTGCAATGTCGCACAGGTCCCCTACCTGAGCTTTTCAGGAATGCCAGAATGACTCCTAATTTGCAGTGTTTTGAGAGTGCCTCGGGCAAAACGATGTATTTGGCCGTACTAATACGGTGACTCTCAATGCAACAACTTTTGGTGAGCACAGGGTTGAATAGCGCTGAGCTGCCGAGCCGTACTGTTGCACATACTCCTTGCAGCTGGGCGAAGACCGGGACCAGAATGTCTTCAGATGGTGCGTCACGGCATAAAGCAACCCCTACATGCGCATCTTGTACCGGAGTGGAGCTTTAAATCTTTATGTGATTGTTTAAAAGGCTGACTCGAAGGCTTCAACAGGAAACTCAGACACCAAATCGAAAATCATAAGACACAACCAAACTCAGAATCATTCATGTAGCAATGTAGTATCATCCAAAATTTATATCCACAGATATCCACAGCCTCTGGCACTCCCCAGCACGAGGTCTACCGGGTCCACCGGGTCCGGGCGCCTGGAAGCAGTCATCATAGAACTCTGCGCGAATGAGCCATCGATCCACGGCCAAAACCCGAGGATCCTGGCGGAGGACGACCCGACACCCGACATGGTGAAGATCCAAAGAATATCCAAATAGCACATGGATTGATGGATGGTCATGAGTGGAAATCAGTGGAAATATCCCCCTCAATATGATAAGAAGTGATAAGAATATATTTCAGAATGGTTTCTGAGCCATTCCCATTTTGGAATCGTTTCAGAGCAAAGTTGGCGCTGAGGATCCATTGGCCACATCGCCAGGTACGCCAGGTAAGAATCATCAATCCGCCAGTTTATGAGAATTACTAGTCCCGGAAGAACACATAAATCAATGCCGCACTTGACCTCAAGTTTGAGATGTCTTTGAAATAGAACACATCCAGACTTCCATTTGAGATACTAAAGTTCATTTGGCTCTATTTCAAGTTCTCGACAGTTCTCGACCATCTGGCAGCATCCTCCTGCCTCTTTCAAATGCTCTCGCCGCAGGATGAAATCCCTCAGCAGCTCTCCATCACGGCCGTGTCCTCGTTCTTCGATGAACAAGGGCCTCGTTTCATCGGAGATGGGTTGCTGGGTTAGTGGAGCTTCGTGCGGGTCAGTTGCCAACGAGGTACACCATGTCTTTCTTCACATGCCGGCCTTTCGTCTCCTTGGGCTCACCAATTTGACAATCGCCCAGCAGAAAGCCGAATGAAAATACTGTTTAGAGCTTCATGCGACCTGCCCTGTCTGAATGTGTGAATGGGACTATATTGAAACACTTTCAATGTCGATGTTTTGGCAATGTCTCCACTTCAAGCTCAATCCCGCCACTTCCAACGAGATGCTTCTTTTTTCACCTCTTTCTTGACAACTAGTGCTTCTTCTTTAGGCTCCACAGCCTCGGCGATTCCAAAACTCTAGAAGCGGAAGATATTTCCAGACTGCCCTGCCAAATATGAATCACAACCATTGTCATTGTCGTTGTCGTTGTCGTTGTCGTGGTCGTGGTGGTTGTGGTTGTGGTTGTGGTTGTGGTTGTGGTTGTGGTTGTGGTTGTGGTTGTGGTTGTGGTTGTTGTTGTTGTTGTTGTCGGTGTTGTTGTTTCTGTTGCTGTTGCTGTTGGCAGTGGTGATTGCCATTGTTATTCAAACACGCGTATGCAATATATTATAGACGAATAATTATATGATATATATATATATGTAAATATATATATATACCATGATTATATCTATATATATACTATTAAATATATATATAATATATACATAATTATATAAATTATTATATATATAATTATATATATATCATTAAATATATATATATATGTATATATATATGTATATATATCATATATAGTGTGTATATATAATATATATATATATCATATATAGTGTATATATATAATATATATAGTGTATGTATGTATGTATGTATATATATACATATATGTAGAATATATGTATATATACATATAGTGTATGTATATATAGTGTATATATATATTGTGTATATATATGTGTGTATATATAGTGTATATATACAGTATATATAATATGTTTTATTTAATATAATATTTTATTATATATAGTATATTATATATCGTATATTATATATAGTATATTATACATAGAGTATATTATACATATAGTATATATATAGTATACATCAATTTGAATTAATTGCTATCCCCGAACATGACGACCCCGCCATGAGTCGGAAGACCAAGAGCCTGGCCACCAGTGCTTCCTAAAGGGGCAGCGGGATGAAAACTGGGAATCCCAAGACATCTATGGACTGTGAAGTTTGCATAGGGCATAAGTGACAATAGCTGGCTTAGTAGGATATATATATATGTATGGTCTTATATATATATATATGGTCTTATATATATACATATATATATATATATGGTCTCGTGTTCCGTGTTCCTACCCCCCCCACCCCCGCCCAATGGTATGGGTCCCCAGGTAGCACCCCCCTTCCCTTCTATTTGCAAGCTATTGGCAGCATTTCTGAGGTCCAGCCTCGTATTTGCTAGGTCTTTGCAGCATTTCTGACTACCAGCCTCGCATTTACTAGGTACATGCTACCTTTTAGACGACCTACGTAGCAAACATACTCCCAAAGTACCTACGTGCTACCTATAGTCATATATACATGTGCTATGTATCTACTTCCTATTTTCTATCTGTGTACTCTCACAACACTACATGTGTTTAAGATATACCGTACCTACCACACATTCCAATGATACCAAACATACCATACATACCATACGAACTTGGACCATACATACAATACCTATCATACCTATCATACCTATCATGCATACCACACATACCACACATACCACACATACCATACATATGAAACAGAATTTCCACACCTCCCATACATACAATACCAAACATACATGCCATACATACCATACCTACCTTACATAGCAAACATTCCATACCCATCATAATAACCATACATACCATACAAACCATACATACTGTCATATCAAACATACCATACCCAGCAGACTTACATACCATACCTACCATCCATACAGTACCACACCCTCACCACACCACAGGGGGGAGGGGGACAGTACCACACCGCCACCACACCACAGGGGGGAGGGGGACAGTACTATGGCTGACCCATGACCATGGCGGGGGGGGGGGGGGGTTGGAACGCTGGACCATATATATATATATTATCATGAAGCATGAATGATATCAATATTTGCACAACATGGTGGGACTGGTATTAGAATGTATTATGAATATCATATCATGGCACAATCAGCGAGACAAATAAATACCAATCAAATCCATGTTGTCATAATCAGCAATTAGCTCTGACCGTCTGACCGTCCTTTCTTAGAGTCCATGCATTGCAGATAGTGCGGCTATGATTCAGAAATGTGCACTGGCAAATTGGGCAGATTCCGATCCCATATGATAGCCCATTCTGTTCACTATAGGAATGGGCACTTTTTTTTTGGTGCAGTTCCATTTAGTAAGTGGATATAGCCATGGTATCCTGACTTAGGGAGGCTAACCATGCTTCTACCATGCTTCTACACCATTTAAAACCACCAACTGCACCCCGGGGTGGATCCTTGGCTTCAGCCTGTGGATCTTCATCTTTGGCAGCAGTTGGAGCTGCGCCCTGCAACTGCAAACAGAATATGTTTAAATATATCTACTGTAAATCATACGTACATATATATATAATTATATATATATATTATATATCTATCTCTCATAGTATGATGTAATCTACTAATCTACATATTACAGGTAGATTGCTTTAAATTATATCATATCAGACTGGGGTTACATTTGCTGATTCGGCCGTGCCTCTCCAGACGGCTCAGGCGCTGGATCTAGCTCAGGTGGCCTAACAGTTTTAGACTGAAGATCTACTGACCGGGCCTTCAATCCGCAGTTTTGTTGATACTATTTGAATGAGTTCGCGACTAGGCACCGTTTGTACATCCATTTACAGTCACGCATTTGAGTTGAATTTCTCACCCAAGGCATCACCAGGGGTCGGACTCTGGGCCCTTTGCAGCAGGCTCGGCCTCTGCAGCCTTGGATCTCCCAGGGGGTCGGCCTGTGCCATGGAGAGAATCGCCAGGCTCCCCGACCATCTCTCATCCAAGCAGGCAGGGGCCCAGGGGCCCACAAGCCGAGGACTGGTGTCGGTTCCCGTCCCACAACAGGATGGGTTTGCACGGGAACAAAATGTGTTTTACTTGACAGGTTCAACCTCCAATAAATGGAGACATGTGTTTCTTTTTCCCCATGGCTTGTATAGTGTCTGATTTTCAGTGTGTTCAACAATTGTGGATCAAAACATATCAAAGCATATCAAGCTCATATTTATCAATTGAAATTGATAGTTTGTTCTGATAGTTGCTTATGATATATCAGCATGATGGATATTGATATATCATTTCAAGATATTTCAAGTAAGAAATATGTCAGGTTTGAGCCAGAAGTGCTTCTGCCAAACCGCTTTTAGCGAAGCCGTTGTTTGATGGTGAGGAACTTTGGCAACTTGTGGGTGAGCGCAGACCTCCCCCATTACCCAATGGATCATTCCATTGGGGTAAACCGTGAAATCCAGCCGGATGATTGGGATGATTGGGATGATTGGGATGATTGGGCTGGCTCGGTCGCCTGTCAGCCGACGCCAAGCTCATCCCGACTTTTGACGGCGGGTCGAAGCGCAAAAAACATCCAACTTTGTGGCATGTGGTCCACCCATCTCACAGGAACGTTTCGAGGTCCTTCAAATTGCAACCTGAGACGTTTCAGTGACAGATGAGGTGACCCACAGCCAGATAACACACTTCAACATCAATGACAGTCCAAAAAATCCACCAACCTTTCGGAACGACTTGTGAGTACTTTCAAGTATGGTTCGATCCCTTCAATTTGAAATTTGGGTTCGCTGGATGTTATCATCCCCAGCATCTCAGCTGGATGATGCACTGCACGGTTGGAAACAGACCCGCCTGGACGCCAGCGGCGCGCCGCCTTGGCCCCCACGGGAAACCATTCACTTTGGACGGTGCTAATTCATATGTCCATTTGTATGTATTTAATCGTATCTATACATCATTCATCCTAACAACATCCAGGAACTCCCAAGAAAAGATCAACAAACAAATTGACAAAGAAAATAGGCCTCCAAAGAAACTCCTTAAGTCCTTGAACAGGCGCGGTTCACCGCCAAGGTCCAAGCCCATAGGACCTTTCTCGTGGCATCGCCTGATCAAACTGCTTCGGCAGCACGTTGAATGATGCCAAGTGGGATGTTTTCGAATATCCGAGTAGCTTGGACTGGGACATAAAAAAACGATTTCACTCCGGAAATCTGTCAAAGTTGATGAACATTTTAGAATATTTGACATTTTTTGACAATAAATACATACCCCATTCATCCCCTTTTTCTTCAACAGTTCATTTCCCCACCTGCCAAGTCTGGTATCACGATTGGTAGAGCGCGAACCACCACCGTAGGCTCGCCGATCTCAAGTCCCAAAGGATGCAGCAACTGCCATGGAAATCTGGGTTGATGTCCTGAAAAACAGATTTTTTTGGGGTGAAATGGATCAAACATGTTGTTTTTTTTAATTGCTACCATTGAACCCATGTCACCGTTGTGGAAGAGTTGGGGTTGTATTGTTTTTAGATCATTTTTTCCATCAATGGGGTCCACCTTTGACGTCTGCCGCTACAGAGGCTCAGGCTGTGATGCATTTCCGCATCGGCTTTTCACAGCAAATCTTCCTGCGCTTCGCTGCTGTGAAAACATGTGGTGATATGGCTGAGAGTGGCAACAGTAGTCACTGGGGAAATGGTGGATGACATTGGATGACATTGGATGACATTGGATGACATTGGATGACATTGGATGACATGGTACAGTGAGTTGAAAAAAAAAACAACGTGTGCATGCATGCCAAGGTCTAATTATTCTAATTGAACAATCCATCTCTGAAACCTCTGAAAATCTTCCCCACTGGATCCCCCTGCGTGATGGTTCGCGAGGCATCTGGAGGCAACCCACCATTGGGGTCCGCCGGTGTGGGGTGCACCTGGGTCCAGGGCTGTCAGTCCTCATTCCAACTGGATACAAATGGGGATGAGGCAGTACCCATACCATACACATAAATTGCCATAAATCTGACTGGGGGCATGAACATCCATGAACATCAGTTATTCGGTGAAAACCAGGGTATGAAAAGTATAAGTCATACCCGCATGCGTTTGATCTTGGCCGAGTTTGTGGGCATATGTGGGCATGATGTAATAATGATGTAATGCACAAGTTGGAATTTGTTTCAGATACCAGTACTGCGTGCTTTGCCAAGGGATGGTACGGCTCTTTCCATGGCATTGTACCATGCCAAAGTGTTGAGGACAGCACCCCCCGAAAGGGCCAGCCGCGCCAAGGCTCGTATTCTGGCGGCCCGAAACTTTGGAGACAGGTCATTCAAAAGGAGGGCACGGGCGACATGATCCAACAAATAGTAGAATGCATGCACATACACAGTATGTGAAGCGGTCTTAAGTTGTAGGTACATTCTAATGACACTATGGGAGATCAGTCTGGTGTGTTGGCAGCCTAGTTCTTCAAACCCCCAATCCAACCATGCGGGAATTCTCCAAACTTTGCCAGCAACACTTCCGAGCTTGCCCATAATATCGTCGACCGCGCCCCCCACAAGGTCATTAAGGAGTGACCTTTGCCGTAGCTTGTGAGTCTTCTATGAATCTTCGGTATGGCTCGGACTAGACGTGCTTTTCTTCAACATCCCTTCCTCTGATCCGACAGCTGGAAGTCCACAAGAGGCACAGATGGGAGACGGGCAACAAATTCACCAAGCTACCCAGGAGATTTCCACGTACCTCCGCGCGAGTGGGAAATCAACGATACACCAATGCATCCACTGGGGGGCACCACCATCCTCTGGATGGGTGTTCTCAAAGGCGCAGTCGGTGTACATCTGAGCGGCGAGGTACAAGTACTCACCCACTATTGAAATCTATTGAACTGGAGCGAAAGTGATAAATCATGAAAAAAAAACTGACAAAAATGCGCTGATTCTAGCTGCTTAGATTGCTTAGATTGCTTAGATGATTCTCATTGATTCTCCACAGGAAAAAAACGGCATCTTCCATATCCATGCTGGATCACCAATTTGGCTGGTAAGGCGGAGACAGTTTTCTGCCAGAATACTGGCAATAATGGTGGGAGACCGCACCATTTCTCACAAGCCACGACTTTGTCCCCCTGAGCAAACACACATTGTATCAGAGGAAGCACGGAAATGGACAGTTCCTGCTAAAGATCATGAAAACCCTGCAAATGATTAAGTTAGAATAGGGAAAACAAAAAGCATGTAAAAATCAGGTTTCCATCATGGGCCATGGGTGTTTCCCAAAATGCTGGTATCCCAATAGCTGGATGGTTTATTTCATGGAAATCCTCAATGATTTGGGGTACCCCTATTAAAATGGAAGCCTCCATGGTTCCATCATGCGTCATCCGCGAACAGGACATGCGAATGGGCTCAGCTACTGGCCCATTTGTTCAGTCCTCGGAGCTTCGGCTGGGGGCATTGGATGATCAGGATCAGAAGGTCACCAGGATTTGTCACAACAAATAAACCGCATGTAGGCGTGCTTACATATAATATTGTATGTATTATATATAACATATATATATATACATACCTGCATATACTATGATATACGTCAATGAGTTGAATGCATCAATTTAGAACTATGTAAATTAAGGTATGATATCATATGGTGTTGCAAATCCAGAAAAGTCATATAAAGTTGATACTGGGTATGTCCAAAGATAGGGGATTCCTCAACCATTTCTTTCCCTGCCAAAGGCGTCGGCCAGTTGCCCCTTCTCAATGTTTAGCTGAGACACGACAGTCGTACCAAGCGCCGCCGCCGGCGCAAAGCGCTTTCTCAGCCGACACCAAAATCTTCAGCCGCAATGAGAGACTGGATATAAAATCATGCAAAATCGCTATGAGGTCTTGGAAGACATGCTTTGGCATGGAACGAACTTACTTATTAATACCGCATTTAAATCCTGTGATTCCTTGTTTTCTGCCACGCCATGATGCCATGCCCTCAGTGCCCCACATCTGGGTCGAATGGAAGGAAGCCTCCAAGAGAAGAAACAAGATCAGATCGTGCAGGAAAAACAGCAGTGGTTCCCCATTCTTGGCCAAAAGTCTATGACACCTATGACAAAATGCATCGAAATGAATCAAAATACATCAAAATGCACAATTTGATGCCCTGCAATGTGGTACCATCTGGTACATGGAATACAGCTCAAAGATCAGAAAGTCTGTTCTCCAAATCCTCACACAAGTCTTAAGACGTCTTAAGACATCAATTCCAAGTCTGCCATCACCCACCTGCCTGTCCGCAGCGACGGAAGCTGCGAGTGCGGCACCAGGGTCCAGCCATGAAACTCCGAAAGCTGACCCATCCGGTGTACAGAATCCCAATGCCTTGGTAAAGGTCCTGTAGAACTAAGGCACTATTCGATCTATTTGGGTCTGAAAATATGGTACCCAGTACCCCATGAACCATCCAGTTGTTATGCATAATGTTGCTAAGTCAATTGCGTTTTGGCAAATATGTGACATTTTCAGATGGACCCAAAGTGAATGCACTTGCAAGAGTCCTGGCACACCGAAACATTGGCAACTGCATATGATAGCTGCATGCGGATTGCATTGGTAGCTGCATATTCAGTCCCCCGACAATTAAACAGCTGGCAAGGTTGCTGTAAAAGATGTATTTCTGCAACATGTTGGGTGCGGAGCAATTTGAGCAGCAGATGGATCAAATCATTCCAGTATCTCCCAGTGCACAATGATGGCTCTGGGTGAATGGAACAGACTTCTGTCATGTCTGATGTGAAAATCACAGTAGATGGTTGTTTGATGGTGTTTGTGGGAAGCTGCAAAACATGAAAGCAGCACAGTGCGTTTCAATGCGAAGCGGGGCAGAGTAACGACAGGCAGTTTTCCTCCTTTTTCTCCCAAGTCTTCATGGCTTGTAGCAGGTACCTGGACACGTATTTCAAAGATTGCGCAAAGCCTGCAACGTCTACTATGTTGTCCATGTGCATCCATGTACCCTTAGGGCCCTAGGGTATCAAGCATTGCTCATTGATGCTCGTTGCTACAAAAATCGACACAAATCTACATGATTTGCCAACTGAAATCGCTATTTTTCCCACGCCTGACGGGTGCAAATCCCATCCAAACAAAGTTGGCCCCACGAAATCATGGCTTTTGTGACGGCCCCAACGGCCCCAACATGGCGTGGAAGTCTTCCCTTATTTTGTTTTGGCGCTGTGTCATGGTGTCATGGAACGTGTCATCCCCCATCCAACAGCTGCATCCAAGAGACTTCCTTGGTTGGCAGGCTTGCACTCACCGTTGATATATGCACATTGGATACACACTTTTGTTCCGCAATAGGCCTGGCCACTGGCTGAAGGACCGTGGTCTGACAGCCCTTTAATTTTCTGCTACTGCGCAACCGCCAGCTTCAAAGAAGTCATGATACCACAAACATCCAGCTGTACTATGCTGTTCTATGAAATATGAAATGGAGCCGTGCAAAGAGTTTGTGACTCGAAACGGAGAACGCACCGCTCGACATCACCAGATATTGAAAGCGAGTCAAGGTGCATAAGATGAGATGCAGGCAGTCTCATCTGCTAAGAAGTTCTCGCAGTTTCCTGCGCATGTTTCTGGTGTGAGTGGAATTACCTAATCAACTCAGGTGATAAGCTCCAGCTTGCAGACGTTCAAAACACCGCCATGAACTCCATGAAGGTTTCTTGATCAAATTCGTAGGATTCGAGCAGAAAAGAATCCATGGAAACTGCTTTCCAATCAATTTTCCCGTCAGCTTCCCGGTCCTGCCAACTGCCCGGTGCAAGCTGAAATGGGCTGTTCAACCATACTCTTCTCGGCACGGAGCAACACCTGCATTTTCATCTGGGGATCTCTCCTAACCCAATCCTTCAATGCCCACCACGCCTCACCAGTTGACTTCACCTGCAATGGCTGGACCGAAATGTGGCTGGACCTATTGTGTTCATGTGGTTCTTCAAACAAGGAGACAACATGAAATCAGATCACGAAAGGACTATATCACCAATGTAGATGGATGTGAATGGCACATCAAAAGTGAACTGTATAATATATGATAGATCTCAGGATGGTGTTCAAACATTACCCGAAGAAGCCTCTGAGATGACGGTCGCATCTCCAGGCAGAAGAAGCAGAAAGAAGGACCACCTCGCTGCGATGGCGGTCACTTCCTATGACCGGTCAGCCCCAAAACGGTTGGCCAAAAATCAACCATTATACGGTACTCCGTAGCTGGAGCAAACATTTAGCCTTGATTTCCAATGGATTTTTCACATGATGTAAGCATCCCAAAAATCTGAAATCTTGTCTGACCCCATTTGGCTAATCTGAAACTGAGCATTGGCGACGATCTGAGGTCTTCATCCCATTGCAGCTGAAGCTTTCGCCTGTGGCGAAGAATCATCGCCGCCACAGGGAAGGAACTGACATCGAAGCTGCCAATCTTGGCGCTTGAGCGAAGCGCCATCCCAGTGAAAAATGTGGAAACAGCAAAATCAAATGGTCAAGTTGCTCAAGTGAAGTTGACATGTTCATGGGACAACTCATTAGATAATCTTAGAGAATCTGAGTTTAGCATAGTTGAGTCAGTTTGTAACCAGCTCGACTCAGTTCGAACTTGGAGACGGCCTGTCACTGCAATTTTAAGCGTTGGATCCGCATCCAGAGATCACTGGATCACTGCACAGATCGCAGCGCATCGCTGCTGCAAACCAGGGTGCCATTTGGGCGAGGTTGCTACACCTCCACCAGAAAACCACCGAATGACTTCCTGTCACTGGCTGGATTGAATACGCAAGGATCTCATATTGCAGGGTTGATCTTTGGGAAAATTTGTAGGACATCATGGTTCTTGTGAAACATTGGGGCTTCCTGCGGCCTTTTCCTTCGAGTCTGGGATCTTAAAATCACGAGTCACTCGGCAAATGGCACACTGCCAAACAGCCCTCGGCTGCAAAAGACCGCGCAACTCGAAATAACACTATTGCAGCGGAAAATTGAATATCTGAATGCTGTACAATCATTGTCTGTCTGCTGTCCGTAACACCCAATTTAAATTCCTTGAGGAACACACCCAAGTCATCACAAGTCACGATCTCTGAAATGTTTTACACCACTATACTTCTACAGTCTACATGTTGATCATGTTGCACTGAAATGATCTGAATCTTGACTGTTCCACCAAGGGTTGGCAGCCAGACTCAAACTTCGCCAGCTCACTCCAGGTTGATGCTGCCACCCGCACCAGCCCTGTGGCGCAGCTCACTTAGACCTTTGGTAATGCCTAGGGGCCTAGCAATGTTCGCTTTGATCTACGTGGGACATCGTGGGACCATGTACCTGAGCTGCTTCTCTCGGTAGCCCATGGCGACCCCTAGCCTGAGGCTTCGCTGCAGGACAAGGACTTTTGTTTGTTTCGCCATGAAAGAGAGGAATGAAAAATGTCAATGTCAGACAATCTGTGACAATGTCGAACATGGGTTTGTTGTGTTTGTTGGGTTTGTGCATTGTCAGGGGACAAAACAGTCGGTACAGCATCGTACAGCTCGTCTAAGCTCTGCGCCGGGCGCTCTGCGCCGTGTCCATGAAATCTGCAGCATCTGACACCTCAAAGCATGGACAACGTTGGACCGTTGGAGATCTCGTTGGGCAGAAGGACTGTGGTCTGGTCAGAAGGGTCAGAAGGGTCAGAACCAAAGTTTGAGCCAGTCACGTACACTATCATACACATTCATACACTAAGTCAACCTGCTATGCCCACCGAACGGTAGTGCCTTGCTGATTTGCTCAGGATCTACAGCCCACACCATCCCACTCCAAGCGATCCCCCGCCTCGCGCATCATGGCATGCATCTGCTTCGAAAAAGTTTGATGGTCCATGCAATATTGCCTGCACATGACAATCATGACAAGGAGCTGATCCAAATAACTGGAACCATGTCTCTGGGTCTGGGAAACAATGACATATCAACATACATCAGAACCAGTTCAAGACAGATATTGCTCAAGTTTATCATGTTCATTAATTCTGTTCCCTAAATGGATAACAGTTGACAAATTTCTGGCATCCCAAGCATTTCTACCTGACATCCCTCAAAGTGCGGTCAATCTGACGAGCCAATGATCCTCCTTTAGTTGCTTCTGTACTGTTGCAGCCAAATTGTCTAATGATGCATCAGGGTGTCTGTTTGGGGGAATTTCTGGGGCCTACACTAATTTGTGGAAAAACTCTACACCGCTGGATGGAATGGGGGAAGCATATCTTTGGAGACGTACCCATACCCTTTGTTCCCATATTCGGGGTTGTCTGAATACAGGACACCCTAAATCCTATAAAATCACATAAAATCACATACAATCCGATACAATCCAAGAATCCCATCGAATCCCACAAAATTTTGTGGTATTAGTCAATGGACGTATCATTATCTTTCCCATAACCGCCTGCAGAGTCGTTCCAGGGAGCTCCAAAAGCTGGTGTATTCTCCCAGACGTTGCTCAAAGCGCTCCTAGGCTATGGCTTGAAACGATGGCCCCTTGGTAGTGATGGCTTCGTTGGAAGAAATCATCAGAAAATGTTGGGTCGGATTTTTTCCAACATAGTAGTTGGCGTGGGTTATCCTGACAAAGATGTTGAAGGCTGGTAAGAGACTGGTAGGGGATGCCTGCTTTCAGGACACTCATGAACACACATAGATATAGATAGATATACGTAGATATAGATTAGATTCGATTAGGTTAGGTTAGATTATGTTATATCATATTAGATTATGTTATATTATGTTAGATTATGTGATATTATATTGCATTGCGTGATATTACATTACATTACACTACATTATATTACATTACATTATATTACATTGCATTACATTATATTGTAACGGTATTATGTTATATTATATTATGTTATATTATATGTTATATTTTGCTATTATACCAAATATTATGTTCTATTAGATTATTTTTTATTTTCCATTGTATTATATTATGTTTAAAATGCGATATATCACATGAACTTAAAAAGTGTGTTATTTTACACTATATATATAATATATTTATCATCTTAAATCATATTGCATTGCATTGTATTATAAGATTAACTTGTATTATATTGCGTATTCTCAAATATTATATTACATAAAGTTATCAACAATGTTATATTTAATATTATGTATTAAACATTCTATGTTATATGCGATATGTTATGTATCTAGAATCATATATCATATAATCATATATTAACACATGCTAAATATTATATGTTATATTAAAAATGCTTTATTTTATATGTCAGAAAGAATTTATTATACATCTTAAAGCATATATTATATATTACATGTGAAAAAATACCGATTGTAGATTTAAAGTTATCGATAATTCGGTATATATTATAGATTAGATATTATATGTTGTAGGTTGTATGAAATATGATAGGAAATTCATTTCATATTTAATGTAAAATATATAATACATAATATGATAGACATGTATAATCGCCTCTGGGTGAATAATTGTTGAGAATTTTTTTCTGCCAAGAACTCTAGGAAGCTGAAGGATTCTTTGTCACAGCTGGTTTGTTGTGATCGCAGCCCTGAAACCCCCAAGTGGCTGACCCTCAAGGGTTTGCTGCTGTTGGCGAAGTTCACCAAGCATTCAGTGTGCTCCTGGAAGGTCAAGGATCCCTCCCGAGCCTACCACGCCTGGATGAAGATGAAGGTCAAGAAAACCAGTCAAAATACTGGGACCTGGTGGGATTCGTTGAATTTTTGAAGTGCGGTTTCTCAACTGCCACAGCTGAGCCACTGAGTAGTCGCTACTGGAATCCAAGAGGCTAGGGTCCTTCATCTGAGCAAGTTTCTGAACTGTCCCGTCCATATTGGACCAGAAAGCGGAGCAGCCCTGGCAACAGGACTCAGACTCCATCAAATGTTGGACTGTCAACTCTCAACCCAAAACTCATGTTGGTTTCGCACGTGACACCGACATCAACACAAAGAGTTCACCCATTCCAACTTGTCAGAGCTGTTGATTCGTGGCTGCCAAGCACGATCCCAGCCTGTAGAATCTCATCCACTCTCTTGAGTTCCCGCAACGCTCGCAACAGCGAACCAGAAGTCTGATTCACAAATGCCTCAGTCACAGCATCACATCACCACAACACATTCCAGCTGAAATGATCATCCCGACAGCACTTTGCTGCAACACATCGTACAGTGCGGTTCAAAATTATATAAGTATTGGACTCAAAAATATTGATGGCTTCATATTGGTCTTTTGTGCAATTTCAAACAACAACATAAAATGACCAAAACAATCAGTCCAGTGGTACCCCCTGTTTTGACCCACAACCAGCAAAGAAATGTTCCAACTGGGCCCCGCGCATCCTCATTCATCGGGGCAGATGACGGATGGTATTGCACGATGGCATCTTCAGCTTCAACCTGGCGCAAAGGCTGGCAATAGCAACCTGATCACACCAACAATAGCGAACTATAAACAGAATAAGAACAATAAACCATGAACAGCATCAGCAGAAGCATCATCTGCAACAGTGTCGTCGTCATCGTCGTCATCATCACCATCATCATCAGCAGCATCATCATCATCATCATCACCATCATCATCATCAGCAGCAGCATCATCATCGTCGTCGTCGTCGTCATCATCATTGTCATCATCATTGTCATCATCATTGTCATCATCACCACCACCACCACCATCATCATCATCATCATCCTCGTCGTCGTCATCGTCATCATCATCATCATCATCATCATCATCATCCCCGTCGTCGTCTCATCATCATCAGCATCATCATCATCATCATCATCATCATGAAATCTGCTCGAATATCTCTTCACCCATCCCTTTTGTTGGGGTCCACGTGCCTCTTCCATGGGCACATCCTGTCGCTTTTCCAGGATGCATAAGTTGGGCGGAAATCGGCCAAGGACCAAGAGGACACCCCAAACATAAACCAGATGTGGATATTAACCAACCAAAATGGCTATGGTTCCAACCCGGGTACCCTGGTGAACGTCAAAACAGCTGGTAAATGGATGTTCATCCAAAAAATATTTATTTCGTCTTGAACCATACCCAAATCAGGAAAAGAATTGAAAACACACAATCATCGCGCGAACATGAAGCAATGGTGGCTTGTTGGTGGTTGAAAAACCAATCACATGTTCAATGAGGATGAAAATGGATATTGCAAATACTTCAAACCACCAGCCAACGCTAAAAGTCAGGAGCTTCGACACATGGTTTCATGGTTTCGCAACATTCAAAGAAGGCAAACATACTACATTATTTGTTAATTCTATCAATTTATTTTACTTATTTATTCGCTTGTTTGTTTGTTTATCTATGTGTTTTTCTCTGTTGATCCATCTACTTCAAGCTGCGTGCATCGGATGGGATGTTTTAAAGCGGATTCCAAAGCAGATTACAAAGCGTAAGTCTATTGGAATTCTCAAATGGATACAAATCTAATTCAAAGCCCTGAGTCCATTGATTTTTTTGTGTTATCAAAACTTGTTGACTCTTGGCGAAATTCAAACAAGGCCTCCACAGAGCTATCCATGCGCCGTCGGCCACTGGAGACACTCTGATCTGCCTCGAACACGAGGATTGCAGCTGAACTTCCGGGGGAAACCCTTGACTCGTAACGAAAATTCAAATCTTTCGAAGCCTTTGGGAAGCCCAATATGGAGCGGTTTCATTCCCAAGGCTTCAAGGTAGCCAGCAAAAAAGAAGCTGGCATTAGTTGGTGGACACTATTCCTCTATTCCTATATTGTAGATAACATGATCTGCTTTTTGGCGTCCCAAGCAATCGCACCTCCGTACCTTGTGTCTCATTGGTGGATTCCACTCGCGGAAGCGCCTGGTGAAAGTCTTTGCTGAAATCGACCACCAGGTTTTGCAATAATTTGAAGACCCATTGGAACCAGTAAATAGTAATACAATATACTTACAAGCATGTATGGGTTTTATATGTTTTTAATTAATAGAATCCGACTTAGACATACTCAGACCTAAAATTCATTTTGCTGGAAAAAAAAGGACTTGTTTATAGTTGTACAAGCTGAGACCCCCGTTACGGCCTCTCAGCATATCCACGCAGGCTCCCCTAACCAAGCCTGATGCTGGAACGGCTCGGGCTTTGGAAGAGTGCTCCGGCCGACACCAGGTGCCTGCGAATGCTGCAATGGACTCCACGTTTTCTGTCAAGTTTGCTGTTGAAATTGGTTGTAATCATCAAGCATGGTTAATCATTATCATTCATGATTCACCATGAATTTAATATAGGTTGCTCACTAGTGTTCACAGAACTTTCTTGGTGGCGACAAATCGCAAATAGATGTTGCAGCGCCGGGCCATAAAGAGCAGGTCCAAAACGTCCAGCTTCCAGGCCTGGGGGCACCAGCTATTGGGGATCAATTTAAAGCCCATGGGACCGTAGTGTTGGAATTTTGTTGGAGTTGTTCTTTAGTAAAACCTCAAGGTTTGGGGCACCCAATCTGGACTCTTGACATCTCTTGACTTTGAGCCATATTCATATTATCGTGAATTTATATGTATGTATATATATAGTCCATTTCAGTAAACCACATCAACTTTGAACTGATTGCGATTAGAAGACAGCTTGTGAGGCTTTGGATGGCGTCACCTGTGCAGTCACATCTTCCTACCTCGTAGTTGTCTGCGGTGGGTGTGGAATCGTTGGCTCCTCAGAACGATCACATCGATGATCTATCTTCCCAGCAACAGGACATTTGTCAAGTTGGTAGTGCTTGAAGTTTTGTAGGTGTTTTCCCCAAACAGTGTGGACACACTTGGGGTTCTTACGGTAAGGGTTAAGGCCTGGTGTTCCTTCGAGGTGGTCTCATCGGTGTCCGGCAAATTTGGTGGCCCTTGCAGCACAAAAGTTCCTTCATCTGCGGTTTTCGGGTGAAGTCTCGCACGAAATTGTGTCCTCGGACGGCTCTCTTCCGAAGGTCTTGTGATCGGACACTTTTTCATCCGTGTGGCAGACGTGGCACTTTTGGTACGTTACCAAAACGTTGGTGTGTGGCAGGCGCAGCACTTCAGATGCCTCGGGCTCATTTTGTGTGGCAAGCTTTGTAGGCCTCAGCAAGAATGTGCCCGAAACCTAGGTAAAACATCGTTTTTGGCATTTTCATGCATTTTCATTGTTCATTTTTCATGGTGCGGGCTTTTTTTTGTGCAAATCTAACGTGTGCTCGTGCAGCCCATTTGTCACTTTGTGCGGGTCAGGTTGCTCTCGTTGTGGCGCGGTGCGAATTTTGATATCGCTCGCGCAACCCTCTCGGCACTTTGAGCAAACCTCTCTCTTTGTGGCGCACTGCTCATTTTGATAATCAAGCCGATCTTGCGCAGAGATCTTGACAAGGAGGTCTTGTATAGAGAGCTTGCGCAGAGATCTTGCCAAGAGACCACTTAAAGAGATCCCGTACAGAGACCTCTCATAGAGATCTTGTACAGAGATCTTGCCAAGAGCTCTCTTACAGAGATCTTGCCAGGAGATGCTGTGTAGAGAGCTTGTACAGAGATCTTGTCAACATATCTCTTGTAAAGGTCTTGTACGGAGACCTGGTGAAGAGAACAGAGATCTTGCTCAGAGATCTCCTATAGAGAGCTTGGACAGAGATCTTACTTTGAGATCTGTGGAGATCTCTTTTAGACACCTTGTAAAGATAGCCTTACAAAGGGATCTTGCACAGAAGCTTCTATGGAGAACCTGTCAAGGAGATCTTGCACACAATCTTCTACAGAGACCCTCAAAACTTCACAAGGTGAACTTGCAGAATCTAACCTGGTACCTCTTCTTCATGTTCCTTGCAACGCTGTTTGGGATAATGATCAATTACTCTCTACGATATCTTGTTCACAACCGCTCAAATTGAATAGCAAATCAAGAACGCCTTTCTGAACTGTCCACCACTCAGGTACAACATGGTACAACTCCAGTCCTGATTGTAGCATGATGAAGTCTGAACGGCCTTCGCCATTTTTGGCACCTCAAAATCCAGCCAGTCACTGGAGCTTCGTTTGAGCCTCCGGGTCCCTACATTGAGGTTGTGACTATCCTCCACCGCCGTCAGATGATCGAACAAGTGCCTGGTGCTTGGGCTGCTCGGGCTGCTCGGCATGGATGATGCACATTGCATGGCCAGTTCATACCCTTCCGAAATCAAACATGGCAATGGGAAATCCCCCATTAATGGATGTTTTGATGGGAAATAATCCATAAAATGATGGCCCATCGCAATGTTTGATTACCAAGTCTTGACTTGACCATACTGATCATACTGACTTTTGTTAGGGAATGGCCTAAAGCATCTCTGAGTCTCATGCAAAATTGATGATTCTTCCGGTCGAAAGTGGCCGACTGCTTGGTTTATCATTTTATCGGAATTCCCACAAAGGACTGGACATGTCCCCCTCAAACATATCAAGCCATGCGACAGAACCCCCTGTAACCAGTGTCTGGGATGGGAGGGCGCTATCGGACACTACTTCTCTGTGCGACGAAGGTTGTGCCGCCTTGTCCACATGTTCATTGTTGACCTCCAGCTTGCGGAGGCAACACAGAATCAAGTGAGTGGAAAACTGGAGGGAAACAGAAGTGACATCTACTATCGATTTGGGATGATTTGGGTATGGTTCCGACTTGACTAATTGGGAGGCAATGAACAATGCTACAGGATGCTACAGGGGAAATGCCACAACATGACACTGCAACCATTTGCTGCTGAACCAGCTCATTCCAAAGGATCTCCAAAGTTTCCATGCTCCCCCTGAATCGCAGCCAAATGGCGGGACACTCACAGCGCAGTTGGATTCCTCGCCTGGCGCGGAACCAACAGCAGTGGAACCCCATCAAACCCATCTGTCACATCCCATTAGATCTCATCAGATCCCCGCCTCGTTTGTGCTCATCTGGAGCTCGAGGCTTTAAAGACTGAGGAACCGAACTTCCTAAGCGAACTGCGAAGCGAAGAAA